TTAGCACATCTTGGGTGTATTGCCTCTTCTTGTTGATTTGCTGAATGTGTCCTCAATTGTAAGTCACTTTAGACAAAATAGTCTGCTAAATGTCAATGTAACTACTGTAGATTCATAAGGTGGTGTTGCACATCAAGGTTTGCGCTTCATCATGCCCAGCATCCTAAAAAAGTCAGGTAAAAAAATAAAACTTTTACCAACAGATCAAAGGTGAAAGGAGGAATTGGTTTAAGAGGAAAATACAAAATGTTTTAAAAATGAATAAATAAAATAGCTTACCATGTACTCCCTCACTTAGGGGCTTTGAGGATGCATTCACACCTTTTTTCCACTGGTGATGTTCTAAATAACATAAAATGACAATTAGTAATTTACTAAATAATTAGTAGTTAAAATTACTAGTAATTTTTACTGTACATCATTTTAATGTGTGTATAGGCATCTAAAGGCATAGTACCTGGATGATCCACAGTCTCCTCAGCCAGATATGAGCTGTAAACCTGTGAGAGAGAGAAAATAGATGTGAGTGAGCAAAGTTTTAAATAATAAAATATAATAATATAAATAGCAAATTAAAACGTGTTAGATGACCAAACAAATAAGCTTACATTAAATATGTCATCATGCTAGATGTCATCCTTTTTAAGTGTCACAAATGCATTTTTGCTGTTTTTTTTAAGTTAACAGGCTTGAATAATACAATTAAATAATAAATAACACTGTGCTAATACCACACTTTAATTAATATTATGTAAGTTATCAAAACTAGCATTCAAACTCGACAAACTGCTTGATACTCATTTAAAATAAAGACTATCAAATCAAATAAAAAATCAAATCACTTTTATTGTCACATTATCAGCAGCACGTGTGCTATGATGAGTGAAAAGCTTAGACTATTCTAACATGACTATTTCTTACTACCAATGTTTGCACCTTTATTTTGGGGGAGTTAATATATACCAAGTATAAAATTTCACAGGAATGCAAAACAAACTATACATTTATCTGTCTATAATGTGGAAAAGACACAGGGAACATGGCAATTTCATAGCAATACTATACATAAACACAACATAGTATTACAAGAGAGTACATTTATGATTCAAATGTTGTCACAGCCTCAGTATAAATACATAAAAAGTAAAAAAAACTCACCTGTGTGTCAACATTGGGGAAAGCTTTGTGCACGTTCTCAATTTGTACTGTAATCTTCATCTTTTGATTCCCATAATATGGCGCCGAACTGAGAGTGATCGTTGTGGTTTGAATCTTCTTACTTCCTGTGTTGTTTTGAAACTGCGCATGTGCAGATATTACTCCACCTATCGACCAAAATGCAGTACTGCAGAATCAACACAACTCCCTTTCATTCATGTTAATTAAGCAAGCTGTTTAAATGTGAAAACTGACTTTTTCTAATTTTTTCCAACACAACACTTTTATTTTTAATACACAAACATAAGCGAATTGTTTAATTTAAACATAGTTACATTCTTTGGACCAACTAAAGCCATAATTCATTTTTTTGAGTGAAGAGAGTGAGTCAGGCAATTGGTCAGTCGCCCAGTAAATCATTCAGTCAGTCAGACCTCTGGTAAGTTTAAATGAGAATAGCATAGGCGCGTACGCCACTCGCCAGAGACATTTGAGATACGAAAAAAGCTCTCGTCCACTCAGGACGTATTTCACTGTCTCGAGAAACGTCCACGGGACTACGTTTTCAGAATGAGCCTGGGTTGGAAATTTGTTCTCATGAAAGTTTTATTTTTTTAAAGCTGCTTTGATTCGATCTGCATAGCATACAGCTTTATAGAAATAAAGATGAATGTGCAGAGAATTAGGAAAGGAATGAATCAAACCAAGTGGCCTGATCTGACTTCACACTTCCTGTCCACTTTCTGCTTTCATACTGATCGTCTACAGCTTTCCCTCTCAGCACTGTTTGATAAGTTATCCTCAGCAAACCTGTAAGTTTATTAGCCTTGCAAGTTTCCTGTGCCGCTGCTCTGCATCAATGTCATCTTTCAGAGCCGTGAGCAAGGGGGGGAGAGCGGTCACAAAGGGGTCTTTCTGTAGCTTGCTGCTGTGCTCGTGTCTCTGACCTACATGCCTCCCTCTTACGCTGCATTTCTCAGCAGCTTCTCAAACCCGCAGACCCAGACGGAAACATTGAACAAGTCAGCGAGCTCTTCCTAGCAAACCCCAACCGAGAGATGAAAGATGAACGGAAGGGAAAATATCTCACACCTTTGCATCAGGGGGATTATCCACCACCTTATATTGCTATGGCAACTTTATGCAGCTTGAAATGCAGTCTGCGCTGAAGGTGTTTTACAATGACAGCCATTTGTTATTAAGAGTTCCAAACTCTTATTTTTACTCTAATTGTTTTCATTGAAAGCTGGAGCTACTCTGACCATCAACAACCAAAAATAGTCTCCCACAGTCATGAAAAAGGATCCAATATACTGCAAAGTAGTGCTAATAGAGTATCATGGATTCACAGCCTCCAAAATATTGTGTTATTTCAGACTGAAATCTCAAAGAGTGTAGTTTTGTTGTTCGGTGCTGCTTACTTGGAAGTCTTACTCAGACTTGGCTGTCCTAATTTAAACAGCATATCTTGTCTAATTCCAGATAAGATGACCCAGCTGCATGGAAGGAAGACGTACAGTTCAAACTCCCCTGCACAATCTGCAAATTCCATCACTTAATTCATCTCACTAAAACACATTCAAGTATGACACTGACCATGTAACAGCGATTGCATTAGTCTGCATTTTTTTACAGGAACACTCTGTCAACACTTCTCATTTTCTGCAGATTACTGATTCTACAGATACCGTACTTGCTTGGTTTGACAGCAAATCACTCACAGACATCTGTTCATGCATGTACTGTATTACATTAGTATGACAAATGGAATGTGCATGTGAAATGTAGGAAATGGTGTTGATTTTCTAAAGCTGTAATGCATTTTAAATGCACTAGTCTTCCCTAAAGTTGTTCTGTTTTTAGTGATAATGTAGTGTGAAATTGATATTTTTGTTTAACAATTTTCCAGAAGGTGACACGGTGGCTCAGTGGTTAGCACTGTCACCTTACAGCAAGAACATTGCTGGTTCAAGTCCCGGCTGGGTCAGTTAGCATTTCTGTGTGGAGTTTGCATGTTCTCCCCGTGTTCGTGTGGGTTTTCTCCAGGTGCTCTGGTTTCCCCCACAGTCCAAAGACATGCGCAATAGGTGAATCGAATAAGCTAACAGGCTTATTCTAAAAACGTACCCCTCTCTACAATTCTGGAGATCTCGAATTATGTAGTCAGAGCTACACATGGCTGCATTTCGTCTTTAAAACGAACACTATGGGGCGGTATGTCGCTGTTCCTTTTATTGCTTACCAGTTGACAGCTTACCTCCGTATGGACGGCTTTTCAGCTGTTACCAGTTCATTCAGTAGCTTGACATGTATGTTGGCAGACTTGAGACACAGAGTGGAGTTGACCACAATAACAAGGTTTGAGTCCTGTGAGAAACGGTTCCAGAAAACAGGTAGAAACAAAAATAAAAGCTAAAAAATAAACAAGTAAATAACAGGGTAAAAATATGGTAAAATTTGAAAACGTGATGCAAATAAGGAAGCCCTTTTTTTCTGGATTGCTTTGTAAAACACTGCGATTGTGTTTGTGGTCGATTGGATGGTCAGTCAGTCAGTCAGTCAGTCAGTGAACAGTGGCCTTTGGTGGATTTACGTGAGCGGACCAGGCGCGAACAGCACTCGCGAGACAAATTTGAGATGTGAAAAAACATACACAGCGGCCTCTGGTGAATTTGCGAAAACAAAAACTGCAAAAAATCGTAGCTCCTGGGACATATTTTGCTCTCTCCAGAAATGTATATAGGGGTAAGTGATCAGAATGAGCCTGGGTTGGAATAAACAAAATTGGCCGTAGTGTATGTGTGTGCATGTGAAATTGTATGGGTATTTCTCAGTACTAGCATGCAGCTCTAAGGGCATCCGCTGTGTACGACATATGCTGGATTAGTTGGCAGTTCACTTCGCTGTGGTGACCCCTGGTGACTAAAGGAACTAAGCTAAAGGAAAATTAATTAATACATTTTCAAAAAACACACTTGTTAACAACAAATTATAAAAAGGGTTATCTTTTTAAAAACATCCTTTATTTCAACAACTTCAAAAATAAGTTAAGGGATTGGCCTGGCTGACACATTTATGAGGAACAAGAGAAAGTAAAAACATTTGACATCTCTGAGATTTCAGTTCAGAAGGCATATTTTACCTTGAATATTACAGTAAAAAATCACCATCAGGAAATCCGTCCAAAAAAAAAAAAATGTTAAAAATCCACCAGGATTTACTGTAAATCCTGTCGTTTCTTGTTGTGCAAACATACTAAGATATTTTCTTGCCAGCATATTCATAGTTTCATAATCATGTTTCTCCAGTAATAACCTTCATGCCAACTGCTACTTGGAAAAACTATTTAAATCATGTTTATTTGTAAAAAATAAATAAATAATGATGATTATTATTGTACAGTACTTGGAGCTCACCTTCATTCTTACCAATCACCAATTAAAAATGATTAGATTTCCTAATTTAATCATACTTTTAGTCTTTTATTTTAATGATGGCAAGAAACCAAGAGTATAATTATTGATTCCTTCAAGTCACGTTGGATTGCATGTATGAGCCATAGTGTTGTTATTGTGTACAATGCGTTTTTTGTAACACCTTACAATAACAGTACATGTTAAATGATGTGTTAGTATGTGATGTTACTAATGCATTCTCTTATCATGAACTAACACGAGTCACATGAGTTCATGTGCAAATAATGGCTACCTAATTACTTGTTACCAAATGATTGTTCGTTAATTAATCACATTAGTTTGCTTGTTTATATCATGACTTTACTTGGAGGGGCACATCATCATTACCCCATTCTTAACCATTCATGAACTCCTTATGCACGTCCAACCAGTGCGCTTACACTGAATAACAATAGGAAAGTGTTCTGTCAACATTAACAAGAAGAGTTTAAACACGAGTTCATGACGATGTGCCCCTTCGAGTAAAGTCATGACATAATTATACATGATTTCATGTTGGTTACATTCAGCTTGAATGTTAATGAATGAATGAATCTAAAAACATTCACTAACAAGTAATTAGCTGTTATTTACACATGAACTCTTGTGAATCATGTTGTAGCTAAAGTTAGTTCATGATTAGCACATGCCTTTACTCATCATTGATTTATAATAATGTTTAGTATTGTAAAGTGTTACCAGGTTTTGTGTTTCCCTGACTTTCTTATTTTTAAAGTGTTTCAGTTTAAGTATCAACTTATAAAGTTGGAGGGACAATTTATTTTTAGACGCTGAATGTGAAGTGAGTTATGCAGAACACAGCACTATGGGTTCAAATGTTGTCAAAGCTTGCCTGATCACTGCAACTGCACTGGAATGGAACAACATCATTCGCTTTATATTAAACTAGGAATAATTTGCTGGTAAGTGGGGGTGATGAAAATAATTTAAAAGCACAATTTGGGAAATCACAATTTCCAATTTAGCAAATAGAAACTTTCAGGAAGGACATTTGGCCAAAGTCGAAGTATAAAAATTGTGGGAAATCTCTAATTTAAAGTAACAACTAAGATTTGCGAAAATCTGCTGGAGTGAATGCTCGTCTGTGTTTGTGTGTGTGTTGATATGTCTTACGAATGTGTTGAACAGCATTTTCTCTCTTGACAGTAGTAAACGTTTTAAAAGACAGCAAATAAAACAGGCACCACGACATGTAAGCCAGGAATAAATCAGTAAAAACCACCAACAACAAAACAGAATTGACAAAACATCTCAAAGATTCCTAGAAGGATGAGGGGAATTTAGGGATCTACGAAAGACACTGCTATGTAGCGCGTGCCATTGGTCACCGGCAGTCCTTCGTGAAGGTGAGTGAGTCGACCTGGATGCATGAAGCTCCAGCCTTTTCTAGGAGATTCTATGGAGCAGTTATATCTGTGAAATCGACAACCTCCGCCCTGAAATAGAAGAAGCACAAAGTTTAGTTTTAGTACATGGCATTCTAATGGGGCGCTCACACCAGACGTGCCTTAAATTGTGATATTCTTATGTAATTAGGCTGTTGGTTCATGCGTGAAGTTCACTTCACAACAGACACAAAATCAAGGTGAAAAAATGCATTTTTCCAAAGAATAGCTAAATTTAAAGCAGGATTGTAACACTACTTTGCTGCGATTAGTCCTGTATTGTTAAAATATTGTAGCTTGTAGTTATAGTACACTGTAAAAAAAAAAAACTGTAATTTTATTTTACAAATTTATCGTAAAATAATGAAAATTAAATTACAGAACTTTAACAGAAATTCAAACTTAAGGCAATTTCTGTAATTTAATATCTGTTATTTTAAGGTATATTTCAGTAATTTAACGGGCGTTATTTTAAGTAAAATTACTGATTTTACGTGCAGGCGGATTGTTTTATTGTGCATGTATGTCTGTTTTCTGTTTTTATTTAATTCTATTTTTATTTTTAAAATGACTTTTAAATATTTTGTTCAAATTATATATAATAATATATATGTAGTTGAAGTCAAACCTTGTTAACCATCCTGTAAATTGTATTTATTTATTTTGGATTTTGTTGAGAGTGTAGCTGTGCTTAATGTGATATGGAAGGTGGAAAAATGGTGTGGACTCCTTTACCGCTGTGTCTGAACCAATCAGATGATGGCTACTACTAGAGGTTAGAGCTTAGCCCAACCCAAGCCTACCCAAGCCTGTGCACCTTGTGTCTGAGCTTGACCCAGTCCGACACATTAACTGTAATTATGAGCACAATTTAATGTTTTTTTTTGTTTTTTTTTTCGACGTCTATGTTTTTTTTAAAGATTTATTTTTGTCCTTTTTTAGATAGAACCGTAATTTAGACAGGAAGTAAAGTTGGAGAGAGAGAGAGAGGGAGGTAGGGTAGGGAAATGTCCTCGAGCCGGGATTCGAACTTGGGAACTGCTTATGCTTAATTAAAGTGACAGTGCATTGATATTGAATTGAAAGACAGTAAAAATGAGCAATTTTACTAAATAAATGCATTGATAAGATACACATATATATGCTGTGCACGTCCTGCTTCAACTCTAAATGTGTGTGTGCTGTGAATGTGTGCCAGTGGAAGAGATGCTGTTGAAGGAGCTAGAGTGTTGCTGCGCATGACATGCATTGCGAATTGTGCAACTTTGTAGACCCACACACTTGTTGCTTAGGTTGAATTTGCTAAAATATTCATGTCATATTTTGAATTATGGCATTGCTTTCCACCCAATTAGGCTAATTAGGTAATGACTGAAAATAAAAAGAAATACAAATGCTTGATCATGGCCCGGCCCGGCCCGACCCGTAGATAATGGCAGGAAATATCGGCTCAATCCAGCCTGCGAGTTGGTCGGGTCAAGTCTGGGCTCAGGCGGAGAGTCTAAACTCTACTAGAGATTTATGTAAATCTTCTTAAGCACTTCAAACTATCAATTAGCGCCATGTCATTCACTTGAAATAAATCATTCTATATTGCACCTCTGAAAAGGCTTAACATGTAAGTCAACAACCTGCAATGCAACAAAATTCCAGAGACAGTGACTGTCCACACCAAATTAAGTTTTTTAATCTAATTAATACACAGTAAACCTCTTTAACATTATTGATAGGCTAATGAGTGATGGATGTTACTAGTTATTGCTGGTATTTGCTGCTGCTTTATGGCAATGCTGTAAATGTCATGCAAAATGGATTTTAAGTCACATTGGTAGCATTAAACACTTAATAAAGCACATAATCAGTACCTGAGGTAATCATTGTCATAGTAGTTTATGCTGTTGTTTTGCTGCAATATTGCAGAAATAGTAATACTTTTATAATAATAATACTTATAATACTAAAAATACCATTTATTGTGTGTTGTAGCATCACGTGGAGTTAGGACATGGTGTAAGATGTATTTAAGCCTATTTTAGAAAAATAACGAGGCTAATATTATTCAAACTTACCAGGAAATCTAAGCCTTTGTTGTTGAGAGCGATGTTAATGGTGAACGTTGAGGAGTCGTGATGTGGTCGAAGATAGGCTTGTCTGTCTGGAGTGTACTTCACCACAAAGTTCATAATCGCATAGCCCTGGGGGGGAAAGAAGAGAGATACAAATAAAACCCTCTCAAATGTGTCTGATTTACTTGTGATTCAAAGTTTTACAGTTCCAAAGTCTTTTCCATGCAAAAAACAGATCATAGTTTAAATGGGTATAAAACGATCCCATAAAACTATTCATGTGGATTTGGAAGATATGGAAAGGTTTGGACTACCTAAGTGCTACTAAATGAGTCGTGACATGATCAATTAAATTTGCCTTGATCTATTGAGATTTTTAAGCCATCAAAGGAAAAAAAATGCTCATATTTCTGCAAAGAATAGCTAAAATGTAAAGTTCAAGTGTAGCATACCAAGAATACACACTACTTTGCTGCGATGAGTTCTGTACTTGCTTTTTTAAAGATTTTCATTAGTGCTTACATTGTATTGTGCATTTAATTCTGTTTTGTGTTTTGTATTTACTTTTTTATTACAAAAAAATAACCTTATAGTTCAGGGTAACACGGTGGCGCAGTGGTTAACGCTGTCACCTCATAGCAAGAAGGTCTCTGGTTTGAGCCAGGCTGGGTCAGTTAGCATTTCTGTGTGGAGTTTGCATGTTCTCCCCATGTTCCCAAGGCTTTCCTTCGAGTGCTCCAGGTTCCCCCACAGTCCAAAGACATGTGCTGTAGGTGAATTGGGTGATCTAAATTGTCTGTAGTGCATATATGTATGTCCTAGTCCTCCAGGTTGGGGGTTGAGCTTTGGGCTAACAACCCATCTCATAAAAATGAAATGATACGAAAAGCCGATATGGTGCGGCTAATTATCAACTTCGATATAAAAAATGGCCCTGGGAGTATTGTTTAACTTAAATGTATATATAACTCATCTCCATTCCCATTTTAAAAACTTTTTTTGTCATTTTGCCGGTGCATTGTACTTTTGTTTTTTTCTTAACATTATTATATTTATAAAAATGTTAAATATACTTATAAAAAAACCTTAATATCATTATAAGTGAACATCAAGGAATATATTTGTTACAGTCACCAATGATCTAGCTACTGCAGATCGCTGGAGAACTACAAATTGGCCACCAAATGGACTACAAATCCCGTCATGCACCTCACACACACACCTGTTCCGGTTTTCCATGATTACACACACAGAGACACAGTTAAAGCTTGTCATCACTGATTTCAAGGACTATAAATACACCTCACCCATTCACACTAGTTGCTGAGTCTGGTTGTACCTGTAGCATTATGAAGCACTTCTCCTTGCCTTGCCTTGCCTTTTTTGATTCTTTGCTTTGTTTGTTGATTTTGGATGTTAGCCGCCTTTACCGATCTCTTGCCAGGTTTTGAATACTTTTTCGCATTGCCCTTTTTGATTCTATTTGCTCCTGTGCTCGACCCTTGCCTGCCTGACCATTCTTTGCGTAATAAAGACTCTGCGATTGGATCCTCACCTCTTTGTCCCGAATCATACTATTACAAAATTAACATAATAATTTCAAAAGTGACCCTGTGACCCCTTTAAACAGATGCTGTTTAGAAGAATTTTGCGTAAACTCTTCTGAAGTTCTACCTTGATAAAAGATAAAAAGCAAGTCAATAATAGCTTACAATAAAGTAAATTAAAGTAAACTCCCTTTTATTTTGACCCACAAAAAGTTCCCTCATGGTGCCAAATAGAGTTCACATTCCATGAGTCAAATCAGCCAGAGAGCTAACAATGCTCATTCAGTTGTTCAGAGTTCTGCTCAAAGAACAGCGAGAGACGGAAAGCTGAAAATTACTCAGAGAAAAAGGTGACTTGACTCATTGCATGAGCCACGTCAACTGGAGACCTAGGGTAATAAAGCTGATCTCGCGATGTGTTTGAGTTGGCTGCTGTAATAAGCCTTGGACATTTGTACAATTGCAGTGGCTGACAAAAATGTGTTGAAATTATAGAAAATGGCCTATTTATAAATAATAACTGTAAACAACAGCTAAAATATTGCATTTGAGTCAATGAGTCAAATAATGGAGGGAAGAACTTCAAGTATATTAAGAAGATAATAATAATTACAGTTTTTAAAAATATTGTGGTATGTAATAAGTCAGTACCTCTGCTATAGATAAATACAAAAAAATAAGATTTAAATCATTTAAAATAAAGTTAAATAAATAATTTAATTATATAACTATATAAGTTAATAAAAAGAAATTTGATCAAAATGTAATAAAATTAAAAATAAATTTAAATAAATAATTTAAAATAGATGAACATAAATAATAAAATGTCATTAAAATATATATTTTTAAAAGTAAGCTTAATTAATTAGGTAAGTCTATGAATTAATGAATAATAATAATATTTATAATAATTATAATAATTCCTTACATTTATATAGCACTTTTCTGGACACTCAAAGACCCTTTTTTTATCATCCACCACCAGTGTGCAGTGTGCAGGATGATGCAACGGCAGCCATAATGCGCCAGAGCACACTTCACACACTAGCTGATTGGTGGGGATGAGCCAATTATGATATGGGGATGGTTAGGAGGTAATGATGAACAAAGGCCAGTGGGCAAATTTGGCCAGGATACCGGAATTAAACCTCTACACTTTTTTGAGGGACATCCTAGAATTTTTTAATGAGTCGGAACCTCCGTTTAACATCTCATCCGAAACACATATAGAGTCCTCTTCACTATATTGGGGTATTAAGACCCACAGAGCACCCTCTGCTGGCCTTACTAATACTACTTCTGGCAGCAACCAAGCTTTCCTATGTGGTCTCTCATCCAGATTTTGACCAAGTGCAGCCCTGCTTGGCTTCAGTGGGTGGGATATACACTATATATCTCATTATATACTGTACTATGACTATAAAAAATAAATGTCAAAGCTAATAGCCTTGTAAAAAGCATTCTGACTTATCCATATCCATATCCTTTCTCCAACTTCACTTTATGTCTAAATAATATCCTTTGCAATAAAAGGCTAAAATGCATCTAATATATATATATATATATATATATATATAAATAAATATATATATATATATATATATATATATATATATATATATATATATATATATATATATACACATATATATATATATATATATATATATATATATATTAATGCCCCAGTATAGGGATAGTAAGGGACACTATACTGTCAGTGAGCACTGTCTTTCAGATGTTAAACTGAGGTCCTGACTCTCTGGTCATTAAAGATCTAATGGCACTTCTCATAATAAGTAGGGGGTGTAACCCTGTCGTGGTCAAATTTCCTACATCGGCCCTTACCCATCATGGCCTCCCAGTCTTCACCATCTGCCAAATTGGCTCCATCAGTCTCTCCACTCCACCAATAGCTGATGTGTGGTGAGCACACTGGCGCTATAGTCCTGTAGCTGCCATTGTATCATCCAAGTGGGTAATGATGCTCACTGGTAGTGGTTGCGGAGAGACACCCCCCCTAAATTAATCCCAGTTTACTTTGCTATAAAAAAGCACATTATTGGATAATTTTGGTGGATAATAATTATGAAAAGAATTGCGTAGAAATAAAAGAAATTCCTTCACTGAGTTAAATATCTCTGCTTGAACAGCAAAACATGATAATTTGCTGATGTCACAACAGCAACTATATTTCCCTCAGAGAAGGTTTTGTGATGCATTTCTGTTTATCTGGAATCATTATGTTCTCTAATAATATCATAAATGCAGAGATATGTTTAAGGGTGAGTGTTTTTGATGAGCACGTTTTGCTTTGTGTACATCAAGAACGCTTGCATAGTATCGTTCTTTTGCATCTTTTTTATGTGATGCCATTGTTTGCATTCTCTATTATTATACTGGATGGATAAGCAGGACATTTCTTTCACGTTTTGGTATGAAAATAAACAAGTGATGCTTCATTTTTCTTCTTTTTTTTTTTTTTTTGGAGGTGATCTATCCCTTTAGCAGATGATTATGTCTGGGTCTAGACTAGGCAGACGGTCTCACCTTGGTGTAATAGCCAGAGAAAACCTTGAGAGTGACAGGGGAGATAAATTCTCTGATAAAGTGCAGCCATTCCTGATCGTAATTGATCTGTTTCATATGAATGTCATCTGTCGGGACGCTTTCGTAGCCTCCGGTGATACGCTTATCCTGTGAAGATAAAAAGAAGGACAATAATCAGTCAACAGTTAATGATAAAAACCCTATCAGCAGTTGTGCTGCTGTGTACTGAAAATCTATTGATTTCCACCTTTCTTTTTCAAATATTTCCCAAATTACGTTATATAGAGCAAGGAACTTTTCACAGTATTTCCTACATAATTTTTTCGTCTGGAGAAAGTCTTAATAGTTTTATTATGGCTAGGATAAAAGCAGTTTTTAATTTTTTGACAACCATTTTAAGGTCAATATCATTACCCCCTCAAGCATTATATATACAATGATTTGCCTAATTATCCTAACCTACTTAATTTAAAGCTTTTGAATGTCACTTTAAGCTGAATACTAGTATCCTAAATAGTCAAATACTATGTTCTGTCATCATGGCAAAGAAGAAATAAGTTATTAAAACTGTTATGTTTAAAAATGTATTACAAAAATCTTCTTTGCGATAAACATGAATTAAACAGGAGGCTAATAATTCAGGAGGGCTAATAATTCTGACTTTAACTCTATGTAGACTAAATATATCCATTTCCTTTTTTTAAGAATAACAATGAATTTCCTTTATTTATGCGTGACTTTTTTTTTATTCATGGGTGATCCTGTACAAAGTGTGCAGACTGTTTAAAAAGCCAGCGGGTTTATCTGACCTCGTGTTTTCCACCAGACCATGTCCCGTGGTTTTCCATCTCCTCCACCAGCTCATTGCAGGCTTTCTCCGAGAGCACAGGGAACCAGAAAACATCTGGGCACGGCTGTAGAAACATAAACAGGTGCTCAGTATTATCAGGCCAAACTTTCATCCTCGACAGCCAGCTCCAGTTTGAATATTACAATTCAGTTTTATTCTAAAAAATCGAAAGTAAAGCAAATATGAGAGTGGGGTTGTCGTGCAAAGGTGAAATCAGGCAAAACCCACATAATTTATTTGAACATCATTAAACTGCCCATTCACATGTTTTATGTCATTGGACCACCTTTACATTTACAGTACATTACATTTAGTCATTTAGCTGGTGCTTTTGTCCAAAGTGACTTATAATTGAGGAGCGATTCATCAAGAAAAGGCAATACACACAGGAAGTGCCTATTATACAAAGGAACTGTTTGTGCTCAGAGAATGCCTTTAGCCTAAATGCTAAATGCCTTTAGCATTGGTACAGCACATAGTTGGTATGTCATCATTTCCATAAGCTTCTGCAATGTCACATTTATTCACATCCACAGATGCATTTTTTTTTCAGCTAAATCATGTATTGTTGATTCTGAAATAAGTTACAGAGGTTACACAGTTGTGACTTCTTTTTTTTAGGAATATACAGTACACACCATTGTTTAGACCAGGGGTGTCAAACTCAATTCCTGGAGGGCCGAAGCCCTGCTCAGTTTAGTTCCAACCCTGCTCCAACACACTTACCTGTAGGTTTCAAACAAGCCTGAAGGACTCCATTAGTTTGATCAGGTGTGTTTAATTAGGGTTGGAACTAAACTGTGCAGAGCTGCGGCCCTTTTGGAACTGAGTTTGACACCTGTGGTTTAGACCTTTAATAAATTCCACGAATTGTTTCACCACTTTTAGGCCAACAACTCATTCCTTTTAGTTCTAGGCTTTGGAATTTAACCTAGCAAACACATAGCTCATGTTAGGCCAGCAAGCCCAATGATTCAGCATCATTTTTCTGCTAGATGTTCCCATGTCTCAGCTGGAGCTCATGTTTGAGGCCATATTTTATCTTCACAGTTCCTACTTGATCAGTTCATACAACTCATTTAAACATTGGCATCAGTACTACTCTATTAGGGATAACTGAATTGAATAACATGCATGAACTGTTCTGCATTACATCATTGGGCAGTAGACTGGTACCAGTCTGTGGATCAATTGGTACCGGGCCTCACAAGAAATTGTTAGTTATTTCCGTTATATTTATTATGGGTTGGAACAATCTTTTAGTTTGAAAAATTACCGTAGTTTCTCGCTTACATCTCGGTCACTTGAGCGCCCAAATGTAACTCACAAGCAGCAAAATGAGTAAGAAACCGATGTCTTTGGAAAGCTTCTTTGCTAAGGGGAAAAGACCCAGCAAACTGCCAAGAAATAGATCCGCAACCCACTGGTCAACAAATCAGGTGAATCCAGCATGTATGGAGATCAACTGCTGGAGGACACAAATCACAACGGCCTCAGGGGCAGATCGCATATTGCGTCTTTTCTAGAGTTTGCGCAAGTTTGTTACTTCCAATGGAGGTGTGCGGCTTGTGCGCGCATACAGCATGATGTGCTTGCGCTTTCCAGATGCACTCAGTTGATTAAATCCCGCGAGCCCACCGCGAGTCACGTGACAAGAACTGACCAATCAGCTTAGGCTTGTATGGAATAAACACAATTTGGTCGACTAATTATCTCAGACAAACACAGAACAGCCAAACACTGCAGTGCTTTGTAATTTTCTCCATAAATAAAGATTATTTTAGCATAAACGGTCACTGAGTGTATTATAGGACAAAAGTGGCACAGAGAATGTGTTAAAAGCATCAGAAAGTGTGGGCATTTCTCGTACTTCTGCAAATGTCAAGCAAGAAATGCTGGGCAGCAACCATTCGCTGTGAAAAATAGGCGAGCTAGGCTGCTTTGTATTTGTTGAAACACGAGATATGCCCACCCTTGATCCTGTGGAAGACCCAGTAATGTCCAAAACAGGCTGTGGAAATGTGCCATACTCGCTTTTATCATGACACTCGACATGTGGCTAATGTAAGCTAAACAAGCTGGAATATAATTGAATGTCATTATTATAATTGTACATCTGTTACATTGTCAACACCAATAGCCTTATTAGTGCACTAACCTGCACTACCCCTGCTTTATTCCAAGCTCAAGGCCTAGACAACCTTTCCGGGTTGAAATGCTGGACTAACCCACCCACATTTTATTGCTTCCAACCCTAACGTGCACTGGTTTTCTAGAGCCCTTTTTGTATTTAACCTTCTGGAAATTAGCAGAAATGTGGTTGTTCATACACGTTCTTAACACCACTACTGGTCTTGCTCCAATGGTTGCCAGTTGCTACCCTCAAAGTTCAAGCTACTGGCGGTTGGATGTAGAAAAACCACTGGATCTGCACCTGGGACCTCCTGCATCTAGCAAATGTTCTCCCAAAAGAGTTTGAACAGAGTTTCTTTCTGTAATATTAACCATCACTATACTGACACACAACATTTTCTCAAAGTTATACGTTTGTTAATACCTGCTCCAAGAGGTTTTCAGTGAATATTCGTGTGTAATTGGCATGGATGTATTTCTCTCTCCAGTCCTGTGAAAGAGAAAGAGGATTAGAGGTCAAGTCCATTCACTGACCTGCACTGCAAACAGTGTTTTGCTGCTCTGCATTCCTTTGGCAGACAGACTAAAGCACAGATAGAAAACAGCACAGACTAATGTTTACCCACTCAGAGCTTAATCTACTTCATTGTTGATGACAAATTAACAACTGAAGAAAAACTTCTGTGCTCTGATAGTGTGTTCAATAACAAATCGTCCAGTCAGTCACTCACCAGAGGATTTTCGAAAATTTGCCAGAGATCATTGTTATAATGAGAAGTGTTGTAGTTGGCAGTGGAAATAAGCCTTCCAAACTCATGCCGATTTGTAAGATACATGAAAAGTCCCTGTGGTGAAAAATTAAAAGACATTAGATATTACAAATAATATTTACAATGGACAAAGTCCAATGTTAATAACTCAAAGAAAGTGAGCATTAAACAAGTGTGGGATATTATGTGTTCATTAAAAAATGGAGGATAGATGTTGGAGAAAGTTGTGAAAGGGGATTGAACTGGAACACAGGGAAGGACTGGGAAAAGTGCTAATTCAGGAATCGGCATTCCTCTTTACTATACTAGAAGCAGGGTTTCTTGCATCAAATGTAAGTGTGGGTAGATCCAGACTTGCTCTCAGTCTAGGCATTTCCAAAACAAGCCTTGCTTAAATATCATAATTATTAGCAGATTTGTTGAATCCAATGCAAACACCTGAAATTTAACAACTGTTACACAAGTACTGTACCTAGGCTGAGAGAAGTCATGGAGTCTGTGAGGGTGAGTTTTATGTTACTTGTTCTACTATGGTTTAGAGGCCAACTTTATTAAGTACACCTATTCAACTGATCACTAACGCAAATGTCTAAATAGACAAAAATATCAATGTATTTAGAAGGTCAAGACAATCTGACAATGACAGAGTTCAAATAGAGCATCAGAATGGGGAAAAAAGGGATTTAAGGTACTTTGATCATGACATGGTTGTTGGTGCCAGATCAGCTGGTTTTCCAGCAAGCATTTGTTTTAAGAAGCCTAATAGACATCTTAACCTGGGACAGTTCTGGAAGAGTAGCACCGGTCCCTCAAAAATATGCTTGGCCCTCTTTGTGGCCCCCAGTACGACAGAATGATCAGAGTATATCTGTGTTGTGGGAGTAATCCAGGTGCATGTAATATTATATGAATAGCACCGCTTGCCGTTGAACACACCTACTCACTTTGTCACGGACGATTATTCTTGTGTATTTTTATGGTGCAATGTCACTGGATTAGAGCGGTGTCAACTTCATAATGCACAACACCATTGGATTTGAAAGTGTTGTCAATTTCACAACGCCATTGGATTAGAGTTGTATTGATTTCACAACATTCAACGCCACTGGATTAGAGCGGTGCCAATTTTACAACACTCAAAACCATTGGATTTGAAAGGTGTCAATTTCACAACACTTAATGCCATTGGATTAGAGCATTGTCAATGTTACATTGCACAACTGCATTGGATTAGAACAGTGTCAAGTTTACTACTACGCACAAAGGCATTGGAGTAGAGAGGTGGCAATTTTGCAATGCACAACACCATTGGATTAGAGTGGTGTCAGTTTTAACAATACACAATGCCAATGGATTGGAGTGGTGTAAATTTAACAACTTTCAACACCACCGGATTAAACCGGTGTCACTTTTACAACACTCGACACCATTGGATTAGAACAGTGTTGAGTTTACAATGCCATTGGATTAGGGCAGTTTCACTTACACAATGCTCAAGCTCAGTGCATTAGAAAGGTGTCAATTTCACAACACTTAACGCCATTAGATTAAAGCGTTGTCAGTTTTACATCGCACAATGGCATTGGATTAGATCAGTGTCAAGTTTACGACACACAACTGCATTGGATTAGAGAGGAGGCAATTTTACAATGCACAACGCCATTGGATTAAAGTGGTGTGAATTTTAACAATGCTTAACACCATTGAATTAGAGCAGCGGCAATAGTTCAAAGCCCAACAATATTGGATTAGAGCGGTGTCAAGTTTAAAATGCACAAATGGCATTGGATTAGTTTGGTGGCAATTTTAAAATGAACCCCGCCATGGATTAGAGCAGTGTCAATTTTACAAAGCACAAGGCCATTAGATTAAAATGATTTCAATTTCATAACACTTGATATCATTGCATTAGAGTGTTGTAAATTTTACATCGCACAATGCCATTGGATTAGATTGCTGTCAAGTTTACAATGCACAACGCCATTTGATTAGAGTGGTGTCAGTTTTAACAGTGCTCAACAACATTGGATTAGAGCAGTTTTAATTGTACAATGTACAATGCCATTGAATTAAAGTTGTATCAATTTCACAACACTCTACAACATCTGAATAGAGTGCTGTCAGTTTCACAGTGCACTGCACCATTGGATTAGAGCATTGTTAAGTTCACAATGCCATTGGATTAGAGCAGTGCCACATTCACAAGGCCCAACAATATCAGATTAGAGTGGTGTCAGGTTCACAATGCACAATGATATTGGATTGAAAAGGTGTCAGTCTCATAACACTTAACGGCATTGGATTAGATTGTTGTCAATTTTACTGCACACAACACCATTGGATTAGATCAGTGTCAAGTTTACAAAGCATGACAGCATTGGATTATTTCGTTGTCAATTTTACAATGCCATTGGATTACCGTGGTGTTGAGTTTACAACACACAACGCCATCGGATTAAAGTGGTGTCAATTTCACAATGCTCAACACCATTGGTTCGAGCGGTGTTAATTTCATAACTCAAAACGCCATTGGATTCAAATTAAATCAATTTCACATTGCTCAACACCATCGGATTAGAGAAAAAGAGGCGAGAATGACTGTCTACACATGTGCAGTTTGCCAAATCGGTCTATTAATTTCAATAGATGATTATTGGTAAACGTCTATTAGATTTTCACTGACAGCCTTTGTCTTAGCCAAGGAATCTATGTTGCTCACTGGGCTTAATATGTAATAGAAATTGCTTTAATATTGCTTAGAAATTGAAATCAACAGAGATGTCCAAAGATTGATGAAAATGACTTAGGTGCCAGAGGTGAGAACAGAATGACCAGACCAATTGGGACTGATAGAAAGACAAACATGACCCAAATATCCTCTGATCATGAACATCACAACCTTCACAACATGTCAAACCACAAAAATAATTGGCTTCAGCAGCAGAAGACCAAACCGGGTGCAACTACTGTCAGCTAGAGACAGGAACTTGAACATTGACTTCTGCTATCAAGTCGATATGGCCTACACTACTAGTACTAACAAGGTGTACCTAATAAAGTGGCCTTGTGAGGGAAGATGTTACTCAAGGGAAAACTATGAGACAGGAAATCTATTAGATCCATTATTGTCCTTTCCATCAGTTACCCCAAGAGGGATATAGACTTTTTATGAAGTATCTGTGTACATGTATATAATATATGGTGCTTTGTCCAGGATGACCCCATTAAAAAAATAAATAAATAAATAAAACAGATGTATCTTATCAAACTCAAAACAATGACATCGCTTTCCCAAAGGATTCCACTGGTTAGCTGAACACATCTGTCAATGCAAAATGTGTTCCGAACTGGCCTTAGTGGTACTTCAAGTGTTTATACACCCATCAGTGCATGCATCTGAATTTATGGAATAGAAAAGCCATAAGCCAACCACATTGGGTATAAAATGGGAGTTTATGGTTTTTCCACATGCACATCTAATTTGGGATTACATATTTCATAATCTGACATTATATATTGCACAAAATTATGAACTGGATATGTTAGTTGACCAAAATGTACATCAATCACAGCAACATGTAGTAAATTAGTACGTGGTATCATTTGGAAGAGCGACACCTTGCTTTAAAACGTTAAACGATACATGATAGAATAATCAAAACAGGAAGAAACCTTTGGGGATCTGAGCATATGGAATGATTCCGGAGAAGGAGATTCTCTTTCTCTATGTACTGTCTAAAATGAAGGAAAAGCACCATGTGAATTATATAATGAGACAAAAACAGTGAGATACAGGGAGATTTAGAAATGAATGTATTAGGGAAGCTATGACAAAAGCATGTATCTATAGACAGATGTCTGTTCAGCAAAACTATTAATGAAGTTTTAAGCTGATCTTCTGGTCATTAGCAGTGCACTACTGCTGTTAGTGTCCTATGAGGTGAGTTGTAGATCGGAAGTGTTTTAGTTAGAAAGACAGCACTGTTAATCAATGTTATAGGTTGTTTAGGGAGGGGCTAAAAGCGCATGTCCAGACATGTTGGTTCAAGGTCAAATGATGGATGTGAAAAAAAGGGAACGAGGAAAAGGATGATGGGGTTTCGCTGGAGCAGAGAACACTTTGAATGCATCACAGAGGCTGCCATAAACGGACAGAGAGGTCAGGCATTCACAACAGCACAGTGATATATGCTGAATACTTGCCAGTTACATCTTGATCACAGACGTGCAGCAGCAGTGTTTAAAAGCATTGAGAAATCAGACTATAATCATATGCAAACTAACAGAGAACCACTATTTTAACTTGTGTTGGGTTTAGACTACACAATATCTTGTATGTAAGCTCTCAATTCACACGCGTTTCGACCAGTTCACACGCACATTCGCCAAGCCTTGTATTTCTTATGCTGAGATGTATTAACATGAGCCGGTATTTAGACATTAGACAATTAAATAAGGCATAGAATAAAGCAGAAGTGTTTCGGTGACTTGTATATTTTAGATCGTTTTAAACATTCATCTGGACACTTGAAGTGATTATTAATTTATTCTTTATAATTGTTTGTACGTTTATGTTTTATGTCTTAATGTTCATTTGTTGTGGTGCTGTGAGTTCCTTTGTGTGGCTCTCATTAAGAGATTAGGACTCTTGACTGCAAACCGAATCTACCTTTGGGTATAAATAAAGTAACCTAACCTAATCTATTTACAATTGATGGACAAGACGTCAAAGCACTGACATGACCAAAAGCAGAATGTAACCAACTAGCATGATTAGTTTATACATAAATATGAAGCCACCTCTGAACATACAGTAACTTAGACACACTGAAGTGGATTAAAAGTTGTCTTAAAATATATTGAACAACAGCTATTATTTCCTAGAACAATGTTGAATATTTTTTTTCACTTTCTCTTCAACTGTTGAATATTGTATTTTGAATTAAATGGTACAACTTACTAATGGCAAATCCCCTATTCATAATTTTAGCCTTACAGTAATTTTATAAAATGGTTTAATATATATATATATATATATATATATATATATATATATATATATATATATATATATATATATATATATATATATATATAAATATATATATATATATATATGCAATGTAAATTTGCAGGGTTAGATTATAGATAAGAGCTGAGAAATACGTCAGACCCTTATTTGTAACTATAGGGACTGACTTCTGTAAACAAGAGTGTAAATAATGGGTTCCGAAAGTACATGTTTTATACTGGCTGTGTTGTCATCAGAAATATATTATAGCCATATATGAAATTTAGTTTTCTTTATTAAATATTTCCCAAATGATGTTTAACAGAGCAAGGAAATTTTCACAGTATGTCTGATAATATTGTTTCTTCTGGAAAAAGTCTTAGTTGTTTTATTTTGGCTAGAATAAAAGCAGTTTTTAATTTTTAAACACCATTTTAAGGACAAAATTATTAGCCCCTTTAAGCGATATTTGTTTCGATAGTCTACTGAACACGACACTGCTATAAAATAAGTTGCAACATTTACTGTATACTGTATTTAAGTTGCCTAATTACCCTAACCTGCCTAGTTTAAATGTCACCCTAAGCTGTATCGAACTGTCTTGAAATAAATATCTAATAAAATATTATTTACTGTCATCAGTAAAATAAAATAAATCAGTTATTAGAAATGAGCTATTAAAACTATTACCTTTAGACATGTTTTTAAATAAAATGCGGCCTCTGTTAAACAGAAATTGGGGCTAAAAATTTAGGGGGTCTAATAACTCTGATATTAACTGTATATACAGTTCTGTCTGGTTCCTGAATCTGATTGGCTGATAGCCGTGTGATATTCTGCCAGTAACAGCACTTGTCCAGCCCCTTAACCCTTTACCTTTGTGTATTACTCCGCCCTCATACAGAAACAAGCAGAGGACACTCTACAGTTTGACAAATATTGCTGCTGTTGGGCAACATAATGTACTTTTTGAGGCTTTTTTTAGTCCAGAATGTAGTTGTTCAGATTGCATCTATGCAGTTTATTTGTAAGGATAGTGACTATTTTAAATGTTTTTAAATTTATGAGAGACAGGAGTAAAGCAAAGACGGTTGACAATGTTCATCTGCAAGATGGCGACAGAGACCGCATAATAAGCCCTAAGAGAACGTAATTTCAAACTACAGCTGATCAAATCATTGTTAAACAGGTAAAAGACTTTTTTAAGTCGATCTCTCTCTTTTGGTATGTTGTAGTGCTGTATTTATACCATAGTTACATTGTGATCTACCGATTGCAACAGAGAAATACTGAGAAATCTCTGTAGACTGATGGTATTTCATGCCATTTAGCATTATAGTTTTAAAATGAGAGCATGTGTAAATAGTTGTTTAAAGGTTCCCTTACAGAAACAGAAAACACATTATGGCACATAAAATGTGGAACACGTGAAACATAATATACCAATTAATTATGTGGTTTTGGAACATGTTCATGCACAAAAAAAAAAAAATAAGAACAAATCTTGTGATCAGCGTTTACACATATAAAGTTCCATGTGTGTTTCACTTGTGTTCCAGGTTCCACGTGTTATTTTAACATGTGAAGCTCATGTGATGTTTATGTGCTTTCTCTATAAGAGTTGTGATCCACTGTGACATGCAAGACAGGACAATCAAGTATTTGGTTTCGAACCTTCCTTTCCTGCCATTGTTCACCACCACAATCACCACAACATTGAATGTTAATTGGATTGCTCATGCATGCAACCGTGAAAAAAAAAAAAAAAAATCTCACTTTTTAATTCTAAAAAAAATGTTTCATGTATGTTTCACTGATGTTTATGTGCTTTTTTTCAGCTTTTTTTCACAACATCATTTCAAAATAGAGTTGGTAATGTGTAGTCTGAACCCAACATTAAACTCAACTGACAGAATCTGACACATTGTGACTAATTGTTTTATAATATAATATAATATAATATAATATAATATAATATAATATAATATAATATAATATAATATAATATAATATAATATAATATAATATAATATAAAATAATGTAATGTAATGTAATGTAATGTAATGTAATATAATATAATATAAAATAATGTAATGTAATGTAATGTAATGTAATATAATATAATATAATATAATATAATATAAAATAATATAATATAATATAATATAATATAAAATAATGTAATATAATATAATATAATATAAAGTAATGTAATGTAATGTAATATAATGTAATATAATATAATATAAAAAAATAATTATTTATAAACAAAATAAAAATATATATAAATAAAATAGTTTGATGACCATGTTTATGTATCATGTTTCCATGTTAGCAATGTTTATAATAATTAATGGCAGATTATTGAATACAATTTTATTGCAAAGTATTATGATAATCTGTATAAAAATGTGTAAGTATACTTTTGAAACTATGTAATTTCAGATTTCCTGGTGTCTTTGTCTTGCTATTATTATTATTATTATTATTATTTTTTTTTTTTGTGTCACATGCTGTCAATAGAGCTTAACCTGAACATATTATAGCCAAAAATTATAGTCTCAACAAAAAATAATAACAAAGCAACAAATGATATTAAACTGACAATCCAAAGCTTAATTAAACTATTGTTTTCTAAATGCTATGTCAGTTGTTTATCTAAAATGAAATCTTGAGCGGTCATACCAAGTCTCTGGCATTCCTGCACATGGCCATATCAGGGTCCAGTTTCTCCAAGACAAAGACATTCCTCTCTTTAAGCTCATTTCTCAGAGTCTGACCCTTTATGAGGTAGACGTGGGCCAGGAAAGGAATGTTCCACACTCCGCTAATTACACAAGACAAGACAAAATATCAATATACAGTACATACAAACTATCAAGCCATGTCTTCAATTTAGATTTGTTACTATTATTGCTTTTTTTTATATTTTTTTGTAGTTTTTTTTGTTATCAGGGGGGGGGGAAACAATAACAACAAACTCATGAGACATTTGGCTTTCATGGCATATTTTGTAGGTTATTACATGAATGATTTAATGTGTTTGGATATGGAAAAACAAATATTGAACAACTTTTCATAATGTGGAACTTTTTAGATTTTTTATCATGAAACTTTCTAGATGACCTATAGTAAAGCTCAAAGTGCACAAAGTCTTCTTTCCAATAATACCTATTTTTTATTTGTAGCTCACTGTTGTCAAGAGCTGTTACTATTTAAAGTTAGGTAGGTTTAAATCTTAAAAAGTTAAGATGTCAGAATTATATTACAGTATATTACAATTATTCTTAAATTTAAACTGCTTGAAAAGATTAAAGTAGTTAAAAATTACCCGAATTACAGTTTGTTTGTTTTACTTGCAACCTTGTTATTCTTTTTAAATAAATACAGTTAATACATTTAATTTGAGTAAATATAAAATAAATTAAATTAATTACTTAATAATAAATTACAATTAATAGATGAATAATTATATAAAAATATATATTTTTATTATTTGGTCAATTGTATTGTGTTTTATTTTCTTATTTTTTAATGTTATTTTTCCAGTTTTTGTGATGGCAACAGACTCAGTGGCAATAGAACACTGTTTGCTTACATTTGGACATTTTTCAACATTGTCCAAATGCAATTATTCTATATACAGGGATTTCTATAATTTCAGTCATTCCTGAATTATTTTACACTCACACTCGCTTTCCTTGCACAATGTCAATGTAGTCCTCAGATCTGGCATAATAACCATCCAGACTCAGAGCTCCCCAGAAGTTGGACCAAAGTTTTCCGTGACGGGTGACAAGGGGGGCAATTATTTTTCTGAGGGTGGAAAAACAGGACAGAGGAAAGGTTCAATACCAAAACAATTCAACCAAGGTAGCCATGCTATGCAAGACATTTTCTTTTTATAATAACTAGAATCTACAATTATTGGAAAATTTATTGCTGAAACATTGTTAATGACACTTGCATACCTAATATACATATATATATATATATATATATATATATATACAGACAGAAAATGAAAAGGTGCTATTTTCCAGGTGGATAGGTCATGGCTAGGAACTAGCTGCTAACTGCTGCAGCCATCACACAGCACCAATGTATCTTGATTATTTGCCATGTTGTGCGAGAACATAACAACTTTTCATTTTCTGTTATTCTTAGTACAAGATGTAACTTTGATGAAAGATGATTTTTTTGAGCAAAGTGCTAATGATCTAATCTGATTCAGTGATTTATGCTAAGCTAAACATGATTCTGCCAGACCCAGAGAACGCCTGAATGGATTAAAAAATGGTAAAACTCAACTGTTTAACTCAAGGGGACTAAAATTAGCTTATTTTCCAAAACAAAGTCTAGCGTTTTATTAAGTTTACCTAACCCTGCTAAAAGAAAAAAAAAACTTTTTAAACCAGTCTATGCTGGTTAGCTGGTTTTAGCTGGTCAACTAGCCTGGTTTTAGAGAGGTTTTAAAGCCATTTCCAGGTTGGCTTCAGCCATTTATAGCCTGGTCTTTGCTGCTCAGGCTGGGAAATGACCAGCCAAAACCAGCTGTGTCCGGCCAATGCAATATCACAGCAATTTGTAACTTTTTGATTTAGTGGCTAATTCGTATTAATTCTTACAATCTAATTTGTACAATTTAGTACAATTTGCTCATCACCCAATGACGGTTGGGGTTAGGGGTGGGGTTAGGTGCCACACCTTCTTTTTAAAATCGTACATTTTCATACAGCTGAACTCATTTATAAGAATTAGCCACTAAACGGACAAAATGTAAAATACTTCTGTTTCCTTGTGAGATCAGGCCGGTCCACCTTAAACCAGGCTGGTCAATTAGCTGAAACCAGCTAACCAGCTTAGGCTGGTTTAAGCTGTTTTCTTCAGCAGGGCACTTAACTGAACACTGCTTCTAATGTGTAGCTAATGCTAAATTAATGTAAGAGTATTTCCTTGTGTAAGATTGTGTAGAATTCATCCTTTTATTCATTTACAAGTAACTTTTTCTTTTTTTAATTTTTGTGTCCCATAATCAAAAGCGTGACCCTTAAGTGACACTGCAAATCCTTTCACATCTAGTGTGACCTTAAACTTCACAAGCATACAGAATATCACTTTTCTGAGGTAAACATGTCATTCAAAACACATTAGTGGAAATTATAGTGTTGGTCAACGACGTGAAAGCAAGCAAGTAAAATACTACATTTCAGTTACTCCGAAAGCCAAAGTCCGGCAGCAAGAGTTCCCAAGACATCTTAATATAGCCGAAAGAGGGTTTCCTCCAAAAAGTCATGCGAAAGAGCTCTTAAAGTTGTCACGTTCAATGTGACCGAGTTCGAGCTTGTGTGCCATTTTTTTATTGTGAGTCACATGGCGATTTAAGAGTTTATGCGACATACAGCACCGTCTCTATGCACCATGGGAAAACAGGAAGCCACTCGTGCTTATTTTTAAAACGTGAGGGATTCGCATTCAGCCGGCTGTTATGTTCCTGTGGTTTTAGCACTTGAGGGATTCAAGTCTGTTCCCTGAGACAGAACGCTCACTGTGGAAAGATTCCAGAGGGCTGATATTCTGGGCATCAAAGGGAATCTACTGTACCTGTTTTGCTCGATGAGGAGTTTCAGAGTCTGTCGGTTCGTGAGCATCACGTCCGCGTCAATGTTGAAGAAATAATCACAAGAAGGATCTCTCCGGCACACATCCCTATAAGAAAGAGTGTTTGGCATAATAAATGTTAGAAACATTCTGCAAAATGATGTTTCTCTTTAACACTTTAAAGATTGATGATCAGTACACAAATGTAGGACTTTAGTTTCTATATTTGGATTTTAGTTATGATAAACGTAATAGCAAGGTAGCTACTGTAAGTAGTTTTTCTCTGTAATTTACGAAGCAGTTTTAATAATGTCAACTTTTACTTTCCTTTGAGTACTTTTTAGTGCAGTATCTGTACTTTTACTCCACTACTTTCCTTCAACCTGCAGTCACTACTTTATTTTTTCTTGTCTATGGGGATTTAAAAAATCAGCACACAGAAGTTTAATAGCTTTATAACGAACTACCTCAAAACATGGGCGATTTATAATCGCAGCAAACTGTTTGTAGGCATTAAAAATGTCCAAGAAGACGTCCAAAATCTTTCCACGCATTGACCCAGAGGCTGTTTAGATGCATGGCACTGATAAGAAGATGACGGATGTTTACTGTATGATGACCAAATTGGCCTTAAACACCCAGCAGGCACAAGACGTCAACATTATGTCAGATTCACATTGTACCCCAATGTCCATGTGACGTTGCATTTTGTTTGGAAATGAAAATCAGGTTGACATCAGAACTCAATGTCAGTCTTATGAGTTACCTCAAACCTACAATCAACCAGATATCAACATCTAATGATGTTACAGCTTGATGTTTGTGTGGAGGTATATCAGACATTGGATTTTGGTTGCCATACCTGATGAATAAATGTCAGTATTTGACATCAATATGACGTTGGGTTACAATATTGGCTGAACATTGGATTTTGGTCACTTTTCAACACAACCTAAAATCAACCAAGTATTAATGCCATTTGACATTGTTATTGGACGTCAAAATAACTTTAAGTCCTTAGTCTTGAATTTTGGTCACCTGACATCACAACCTAAATCTAACCTAATATTAACATCTTATGACGTTGTGTACCTGCTGGGCAATAACTAAATGCACTACAGAATATTACGTTTATACACATTCATGAATTACATGTAAATGCTTTTTACAGTGTAATAGGGTAACACTTTATAATAACTACACATTATGAACCATCTATTAATCATTAGCAAATAGTTCAATCTTTATTCGTTTAGCATTAACTCTACATTAATAGACGTTAGAAAGCAGTTTTTAACTGCAGCTACAAATGCTGTATTCTTGACTTATAAGCACATCTATAATGTGCTTAATAATTGTACTTTAATACTTTGTTAATGATTTATTTTTCATTACTAAATTAAGTATCGCATTTTTTACAAACCAATCGTTTAATCATAGTTGGTTGTTTTTAAGATCATTCAGAATGAGTTAGTAAATGATTAATGAACTATTAAAATTAAAATTTATAATTCAATAAATATATATTCAGGCACACTAATAGTTATTTTCTATGTTAATAAATGCTTTATTAACTCAACTTCATCCAGTTTTGTAACCTAAAGTGAGGGATATTCATGCTTTATAGATCCCTTATAACTGACATTTAAAGGCTGAGTTAAATTCTAAACAAGGACAAAAACATAAATGCAATACTCAATTTAGTAATGAAAAATAAATCATTAACAAAGTATGAAAGTACAATTATTAAGCACATTATAAATGTGGTTGTAAGTCAAGAATACAGCAATTGTAGCTGCAGTTATAAACTGCTTGTTAATGTAGAGTTAATGCTTAACAAATGATGAATTAACTAGATGCTAATGCTTAATAAATACTTCATAGTGTGTAGTTATTATAAAGTGTTTGATTTTGAGTTGAATTTTTCAGTACTCTTTCCACCACTGAATGAATAGTAGTATTTTAAATGAGAAATGCCTAATTTAATTCCTTTACATGCAGTAGCGTAGCCTATGAATGTGTGTCATCATTATAATAATATAAACACACAAATGTATCATCAAATTTGTACTAGGCCAACTTTAAAAGCTCTTTTGTCCTAGGGATTTTAGAACAGGGATTTTAGAACAACATCTAAGTCAAAACTTAAACTTAAATGAAATTCCAACTGTATTTGTACCTATTTAAAAAAATAAATCAATATACATGTACTGTGAGAATCATTCTGTTTGAATGTAAATAATTAAGTATCCTTACTGTTCTGCACTGAAACATACAGTAATAACAGGTGTCTGAAACAAACATCTAATGCCTGCTCTGACTACTAAACTACTAATTAAGACAAACAAATTGCCTATTATTACCATGACAACATCCACTCATGCCAAACACAGACAGGCAGTAAGAAAACAGAAGCAGTAGTCATGTTATATGTGGTGCCATATAGCTTAATTCACCCAGTAAAGGATTATTGAGGTTAATTGTGCAAATCAAATTCGCAGTACACAAACATGAAAATGTAATCAATGTTATCATGTGACTGTTTTCTCATCATAAGCCATGTCATCATAAAAGCTTCACAAAACTGTCCCCATTATGCAATTCTGTCTAATACACCAAAACTTTCTTTATCTTTGCCATGTTTGGCAGTTTTCTTCACATTAGTTTTGTTCTTCAGCTGGTCTACAGCAGAACCTGTCATTAAGGGCCAAGGACCCCAACTATTGTGTAGTCTGAACCCACCACAAGTGTGTTGATTGATTTTAGGGTCACAGTATAAAAGCAGACATGCTTGTGGATCGAAAGTGTTTTGGAGCTGGGCTGGGAATCTTGGAGACAGCAGTGTTTGGTAGAGTGCTAAACTGAGAGCAAATAGAAGGGTTCACAGGAACGTCTTCTGTATATTGCTATATAGGAGGGGCAGATTTACTACTTTGTGGTTAGTCGGATGTTGTTCCTGTGTTTTTTTTTTACTTTGTAAGGAGCTGAAAAGTGTGCTGACATGTGGCAAACGTTAATCTTTGATCAAATGTTGAAGGCTCAGATTTGCATTGTAATTTACTTCATTATTTGCATATTTTCAAGAGTCGCTCTTAAATTAAAGGGACGCTTACATGCCCATGTTCCTTGCTTCTCCTTGAGTTAAGTTCTCCTCAGGGCCAACGGCTTTAAAACTGCCGAACACATCCTTGTTCTCTTCCCAGAACTTCTGTATGTGCTTCTCATGGTAAACCTCCTGTAGAGCAGGAACGACAATGATCAGACTCTAAAAACAGAAATGCTTCTCATTGCTTCGTCAGCCAGACACTCACGCTGTTATGAATAAAAATATTCAATTTGTCTTTGGGGTAATCCAGACTCAGGAGCCGCTCGAGAAACTCTGGCAGGAATGGAGTCGGCTGCTCAATGTATACGCCAACAGTCACTTGTGGAAACTCCTGTTTAGATAAAGAGAAACGTCTGGTCAAACATTTAATACATCTTCATGCAGTTGGGTAATTCACAATGTTTTCACTAAGGGGTGGGAGATATAACCGACCAATATTACAGAAGGCGTCATTTTATTGTGTAGTCTTTATAATTATTTACCTGACAAAAGTTTTGTCGCCTATCCAAAATGTAGAAACAACAAATAATAACTTGACTTCTAGTGGATCAATTGGTATCAGAAGTGGCTTATATGAAAGGCAAAGTCTCCTAGATTATGCTTAGTTTACTATACATCTCTGCAATGACTCAAAGAACTTAATAATAGTCATCTGGAATGGCAAAGAAAGCGTTCTTGCAGGACTCCCAGAGTTCATCAACATTCTTTGGATTCATCTTTAATGCCTCCTCCTTTATTTTAAACCAGACATGCTCAATAATTTTCCTGTCTGGTGACTGGGCTGGCCAATCCTGAAGCACCTTGACCTGCTTAATGGGCAGCACAAATGTCTTGATACCTCAGGCTGCTGATGTTGCCATCCACTCTGCAGATCTTTTGTACAACCCCATACTAAATGTAACCCCAAACCATGATTTTTCCCTCACCAAACTTGATTGATTTCTGTGAGAATCTTGGGTCCATGCAGGTTCCAATAGGTCTTCTGCAGTATTAGTGATGATTGGGATGCAGTTTAACAAATGATTAATCTGAAATTCTGCCACTTTTCCAAATTATCAACGACAAGACTTTTGTCAGGTAGCGTAGTTGGAAACTAAACAAAATATTGTTTAGAATTTAAAAACAATGTTTGCAATCCTTTTGATTGTTGGATACCTTTCCTACTCCTATCTCATGTAATCTTAAATTAAAGCATTTTAATAACACATTGACGTAATTGGCAAATATTATTCTGTATTCTTTCATTACCCTATACTTCTCTTCCATGCGTATAATAAAAAAAATCTCAGAAAAAAGAAAATTCTGTTATTTACACCAACAGTCACTTGTGGAAATTCCTATTTAGATAAAGAGAAACGTCTGGCCAAACATTAATATTTCTTCATGTAGTTTGGTTATACACAATAGTTTTACTAAGGGTGGGAGGTATAACCAAAAAATAACACAGAAGGAGTCATTTTATTGCGTTGTAAATGTAAATATTTAGTTGGAAATTAAATAAAATAGTGTTTAGAATATTAAAAACATGTTTGCAAATTCATTATAAAAATGTCCTTTGGATTGTTGGAGACTTTTCCTACTCTCATGTAATCTTAAATGAAAGCATTTTAATAATACATTGACTTCTATTGATCTGCATTTTTGCATTACTGGATATTTCTCTTCCAGGCAATTCTGTCATCATTTACTCACCCTTTAACTTCTTTCAAACCTTTGTGAGATTCTTCTATGTATATTTATTTATTTATTTGTTATTTTTTATGTTGCAAACCTGTAGCCTTTGACTTTCTCTTTGACTTTTGGTTACTGGTTTTCAGCTTTCTTAAAAATATCTTATTTTGTAAATGTTTGGAACCACATGAGGGTGAGTAAAATAGTGACTAACATTATTTCTGGCTGAACTATCTCTTTAAAAGGGACCTATTATGCCTGTTTTGAAAATATGTAAAAGTCAAAATACCACACAAATATTGTGTTGTAACTCTTTGAAGCTGCTCCTTTTAGGCTTTGATTGCTAAATGTGTAATTTTTCAGACTGTCACTTTAAATTCAAATGAGATTGTGCTCCAAACCCTCTTTTCAAAAGTGGGCGGAGCTACAAATGCCTATATGTCAGCATAGTGGCAGATTCAAAACTCTAATGGCAGAGGCTGGTTCTCAGCCAGGGCTGTCTATGCTAATGACGGAGAACTCATCACTAATGGGCGGGGCTTTCCCCCTCTGATGACACGTACAAAGGGAGAATGTCAATCAAAGCATTTCTGCAGACTGTTTTATCAAGTGTGATTTATAAAAAATTGAATTATCGGTGTTTATTCACAGACTGTTGCCACACAACTGTGAAACCGCTTATAAAAGCGATTTTTGCACAATAGATCCTCTTTAAAGCAGACCGGCTACACACAAATTAATTTTTTTTGATTTATTTATAAAATTATATTTTTATTTTATTTAAATTATGATTAAAAACATAATGTGTACTAATGATGATTAAGTTATAGCAAAACAATATATATATATGTATATCATCATACCATTTATCCTTATATTTCACATATTGTAGCAAGCATCGCTGCTGGAGGTCTGAGAGAAAGTATAAGCTGCTTTCCCATGACATTGAGCTTAAGGTTACACGGATCGGTCACCACTACATTTGTGGTTCCTGACCAGTCTACACAGCACACTAGATGAAACAGGGCTTGAGTGGCACCGTGTAATTTCCCAGTTCCGACCTTGGCTCTGGGTTGCTGAAGGGAGTGTCCTATACGAGCCAGCCAAAAGTCTTTAAATTGTTACCGACAGAAGAGCGGGGACTAAACAGGAGACACAGGGGATTCTGCGGAGTCTAGACCAGGACAGTTTCCTTTAACCGGGCCCTTTCAACCTCAGCATAAGCAGTGTGAATATTTGAACCCTTGTCCCCTGCTCTTCAACAGGCAGCCCAAAACCACTGGATGGCACGACCCAGCCACTCCCTCATCCTGAAAAACAACAGACTATGGGCTGGGCCACAACTCATCACCCTCTCCACTGTTTTCTAGCAATAAATCAAATGGGTCTGATGCATTAAAATAGGCTTTTTGTTTCACTTGCTTTTGTTTCAATGCAAAAACATGTACACACTGTAATTTCCTTGCTAAATGTGCACCATTTGTGCTATAGTCATGATGTATCATGCAGATTGATTAGGGACATTGTGGCCTTAGTTTGGTGACTGGACATACAATTTCTTCCTGGAGGAAGATAAAATGCTCAGATTTGTGACCGATAGTCCAGGAAATAACTAGAGACTGCAGTAGGGATTTGGGATCTGTTGACTTGGGACAGAAGCACAATCCACCACAGCCTAAAGCAATGCCATCATGCAACCAGCCTAAACATTTTGACAATATCAAGAAGATATCAAATAGGCCAGTGTTCAAAGGTTAGTTCACCCAAAACAAAAAAATAATGTTATTAACTACTCATCCTCTTGTTGTTTCAAACCCATAAGGACTTTGTTCATCTTTGGAATACAAATTTAAGATGTTTTGTTTGAAATCTGAGAGCTCTCACATCCTCCATAGACCGAAATGGTCTCGGTTCATTCAAAGTTTAAAAAAATGCCAAATAAACATCCTTAAAACAGACTGTACTGGTTCAATCAAAATATTATGAAGCTACGAGAATTATTTTGTGTTCTCATAAAACAAAAAAATTAATTTTGGTTTATTAAATAATGAATGTTCTTTGGTATTTTTTAATTTTTTTATTTTAGGATCTTTAAATGAGCCGGGACCATTATGGAGGATGAGGGAGCTCTTCAATTTCATGTAAAACATCTTAATCTGTGGTCTGAAGATGAGAAAATGTCTCAAGGGTTTGGGACAACACAAATATAAGAAATTAATAACAATTTTCATTTTTGGGTGAATTAACAAAAACAAAACAAAGACAAAGACCGTGTATGCACCATCAAAAGTGGTTTTAATGGAAGTCATTTGGGCAAAAACAGCCACCAACAGTAAAATAGGGAGAAAATAAAACGAAAATTAGTCAAGAACATAGCATCAATGACGAAATGTAGTTTCACATGTCCAATACTTTGATAAAAGGCAAAAAATCCAGTCCACAAAATTATTTTTATGTTGAAAATACGCCATTTTGTGTTTTTTTACCAAATCAGGGACATCATTTATGAATTTGGCAATTAAAGAGATAATTACTGTAATTTTCTAAACAATTTAGTAGTTTTGATCAGGACTGAGGTTAATTAACAGATTTATGAAAAAAAAAGAAAAAAAAATTATCTGATGCAATTTTACAGCAATTGAATTTAATTTAGTGAATGTTTTTATTCCAAACATAACAAAAGAATGGTAAATTTGCCCAGAGTGTATTGTTAAGGTTTTTTTTTTTTTTTATTCAAAGCATTTTCGCAAAATATGTGTTTCTCAAAAAAATAAATAAGATTTGTCACCAAATATCCTTCTAGTAGTTGAAACACAGTAAACAGTTATGGAAAAATTAAGAAACAAAATCACAGCAGAGTGGATGAAAACATCCACAACAACAGATAATGGTTAAGCAAACAGAAACATCCAGACTGATAGTGAAAAAGAGGATATTAATTTCAATTAGAAACCTTTATTTTTAAAGGTATACACAAATTATTTCCGCATCAGTAACTCAAGCCTAATAGAAGCGCTCAAGTTAACCTTAGCTGAACCCTACAACAAATTTTCAGAACAACCACTGTAAGTTGCCCTGTGGATAAAACCCCACAGTGAGCCACCCGCTAAACAGAGGTCTGGTTGACAGCAACACCCCAGTAAGTGAAACCGTCCTAAAACCCAAAAAGCCATTTCCTGCACCACAGCAGTGCACAGCTTCCTCTTCCTCAAGTGGCTCCTCATGGGCATTTAAGGAGTGTGTGAAGGGACATGGGGTGGATAAGACGCTTGTTACTGTTGGATACGACTCCCAAACCTCACTTCTCTTGGCTTATCTCAAAGTGAAAACTGAAGAGGAACTAGTTATTCACTTACAGGCATGTATTAATAGAGCTGGAAATGTTTCATTTTTTCTTTAAATGGCGCTTTTAGGGTAGACCTTTATGGTGCTGAGAGGAAAAAGAACAAAAACAGCCACTGTGGCTTTCATTGGATGACTCACTTTAAGCTGAGACAAATCCACCATGTCTTGGTCACAGATGGTGCAGCCGCGCTCATAGTTCCATGCATTGGGAATGTAGTTGGCCAGGTAGTTAAAGTATACCTGTGGAGAATAACAACAAATAGGTAGTTAGATAAAGGAAACCTTTAAAATATTCATGACGACATACTCCTGAAAAGGAAATGTCCATCAATATTTGAACCCAGCCTGTAGTTAAATCCAATTTTGGTCAGGACAACTACTCAAAAATGAATCCTGCTGTCACATTTTTATAAACTACTGTCAGTAGAGCTGTAATTATAGCTGGACTGGTATTTTGTAGCACTGCACACATCAAAGAATGCGTTTTTGTATCTCAGCTGGGAATTTACAGGACAGCGTCGCAGGGACGGAAACTTTAACTGAAGGTCAGTTTGTGTTTAAATAGGCAGATTATGCAGATTAAGCCATCTAAAGGGGAAATATAGTGTTCTTGCTAAATAAATAAATACATAAATTGGCTTATTTGATGTTGGCTTATGAGAACGGCATGTTTTTAATCTTAGATCAAGATACTGAAACTAATTCGCTTGTTACCATAAACAGGTTGCCTCAAATTCTTTAAATATTTATCTTTGCTTGGTTGCGATAAAGGTGTGCATCTTTCCAGGGACACACCCTCTGTGATGTGACCTCAGATTAAATATTATTTGATTAACAAACATTTGCTATATTTATTTTTATAATATAATGCCTTCCTGTCTCTCAAACAGTATAGATAAGGGATGCCCAAACTCGAACCTGGAGGGCCGATTTCCTGCAAATTTTAGCTCCAACTTGCCTCAACACACCTACAAGGGTGATTTTAGAAAGTCTAGTACAAGGATGTCCAAACTTGGTCCTGGAGGGTCGGTGTCCTGCAAAGTTTAGTTGCAACCCTAATAAGACACACCTGGGCTAGCTAATCAAGCTCTTACTAGACTTTCTAGAAACATCCTTGCAGGTGTGTTGAGGCAAGTTGGGGCTCAAATTTGCAGAATTAGGCTGTGGTCATACTGGAGTTTGAGCTTGCAAAATTCTGTCGTACGGCGCAGCGAATAGGGGCTGGATTAAAAGAGATGATTAGACATTTAAATAAGAGAGCGATTGCTCCATATTTTTAATATCTGTCCAGACAGGCCATGTTGTGATTCTTGATTGGTCTCACGCAGTCAAGTGATGCAATTTTGCAGGTCAGAGTTCACCAAGCTTGAACTTTCAAATGCAGTGACCAGCGAAACTTGCCGTTTCTGGTCTGACACATTCGCGTGCGTATGAATAGAAGTCTGTGGGGAGAAAAGTTCAGTGTGACCGCAGCTTTAGCAGTTTGGACACCTCTTGTCTAGTGGGAGCTTGATTAGCTATAGCCCAGGTGTGCCTGATTGGGGTTGGAGCTAAAATCTGCAGGACACTGGGCCTCCAGGACCGAGTTTGGAGACCCCTTGTATAGACCATGGTAATTGAAACACAAGAACTTGCAAAATGGATCCCTGCTGAAAAATCCAGCTTAAACCAGCCTAGACTGGTTGGCTGGTTTTAGCTGGTCGACCAGGCTGGTTTTAGGGGGGTTTTTGCCACTTCCAGGCTGGTTTCCAGCCATTTCCAGCCTGGTCTTAGCTGGTCAGGCTGGGAGATGACCAGCTAAAACCAGCTTGACCAGCCTAGCCAAGCTGGGAGTCCAGCCAAAACCAGCTGTGTCCAGCTTAAACCAAGCTGGTCAAGTTGGTTTTAGCTGGATTTTGCTGGAAACCAGCCTGGAAATGGCCAAAACCCCTCTAAAACCAGCCTGGTCGACCAGCTAAAACCAGTCAACCAGCCTAGGCTGGTTTAAGCTGGATTTTTCAGCAGGGATAAGTTGAATGGAACACACACATACACACACACACACACGCACACACGCACACACACATACACACACAAAATATAAAACAAAAAGTCGAGACAACAAATGCTTTTATGTTGCTTTGTTAGTCAGGTTTCAACATTTTTTTTAAGTTATACAAAGTTTAACTTAATATTTTGTGTCTGTTTGATGACTTGAAATGTTGTTGAGATGACTGGAAAAGTTGACTAATAAATTTAAGGCAGATATATGTTTTTATGGTGCACACATACTGTAATTCTATAGCCTTACCCTTCCGGGAGTCTCCCGCATATGCATAGAGACTCCAGGATGCCCGCAATCGAATGATAATCTCCTGGAAATCGCATGTCTTATCAAATATGTCACGCACCCCGCTCTATCCCCACCGCACCAGTTTCCAGTTACTTCCTCAGATTTGTCCCGCAAACTCCCGCAAATCATTTACATATCTCCCGGAAATGGCTTCCTCCAACTTGTGATGTCCGCCTCCCCCTACCCTATTTTGAATATCAAAAGATCCCACTAGGAATGACTAAAGCGTTTTGAATTGCAAGGATACAAAGTACGAGTACAACTAGGTCATACCCATGTCGTCATACAATTTTGTGTCCTCTTAAATCACATAAACATAAACCACATCAACGATGACCCCATGAAAGAAATGTTTGGGTGGCTCCCTAAGTAAAGGCTAGGGGTTGGGGGAGGGGGGTGTATTAGGGTGGTATTAGGGCATCCCTAATAGTAACTCCTGGGGCTCCTAAAGCGCATAGGACCTTAGACTTGTCTTAGCTTCACCCCCTCTAATGGTGCCCCTGATGTAATTTAAAGTCTAATAACAGATTTCATGTGTGTTTCACGTATGTCACGAATGTACAGTCAGAGGTTTCGGATATTGTCTACAAAATACATTAATATAGATGTTTAATTTCTTCCTCAGACATGCAAGAACTAAGGGAATTTGTCACAATGATAACAATGATACTTCTACCCAAAACAACCATATATCATTTGGATGTGTAAACCGATGTTGCGCTCACCTTAATTTACAACTGTATATTACCTATACTTGTCTGCATGAACCCAGCTTTGAGATTCCGTTTCCTGAAAGGCTAGCCCGTAATCCTTGTTAATTTGTTCGCTGGCAGTTATATGCAGATTTTTGGCAGGAGAGCTGTGCACACTCTCGTCATGCTGCTTTCCATTACAGGAAGTTCGAATGTAACAGCAAGGAGGAGATCTTCAATTCAATCCAGCCTCAACCACATTATCCAGATGGTGTCCAGATGCAGCCCTTCTAAATTTGCTTCGCGTTTAGCCATGTTAGATAGTTGTGGATAATTGAGCATAGTTGGCTGCTAAGACCGACAATCCCTTGGAGGCCCAGGTCATGACCTCAAGTGCTGTGAGGTCAATTGGTTAAGCGTTACTGACAGAAAATAGGTCACTGACTACGTTTACATGGACATCAGTAATCAAATCCTTTACCTTAATATGAACAAGGCAATAATAATATTAATTAGTTGCTTTTAGAATGTTCCTTTTATGTTCCCAGTTTACTTGTTGTAGTAAAGAGATTGATTAAAGTCATTACATCACCACTGAAAGATTCAATCAATTCTGTGTATGTTGGAGGTGACCTGCCCCAACCCCTTTAAACTGATAGGTGTGAACTACGTTTCCCTTTTAGGATCTCAATTGGTATAAACTAAACCGCAACTGAAACATCTGATATTAGGTTACTGCTGAGCTGAGTAAACACATAAGGGTTTGTTTGTAGCTACTATAAAGTTCTGGCTCACAGATGTACTTTTTAGGACAAGTTACTTGAAGATTGATGGGTTAATATTGAGGTTGAGGAACTGTACTATTGACTGTCTTCAGTAGAGTATTCTCCCCATAATAAAAACTTTGTTTAGCTTACTTATTTTATGTATTAGAGTAATCTAATATATTGGCGTGCCACCCAAGAACAATTAAGCCAAACACAGCAAAATCATGCCATCCAATGTTTCGTTTGGAGTTTCATACATATTCGGGTGTTTCATTTGAAATTTCTCCACTTCTACTGCAGTTCAGCAGTTTCACGTTCATTCAGTGACATTTCATTCATGCCCCTGCGACAAACTCTGAGGTAGTGGATGAGAGTATGAAGAAAGGAATGATAGGTGAGTGTTGTTTTAATGGAATTTGATACTGGAAGCCGAATGGAAAGAAATCCACATTTCCTGGACAGCATTTGTAAAACTGTTTCTAGTGAAGGAGTTCACTGTGTGTGCCCTTGGAGAATCAGGTGTCTTTGGTCCTGTGTTGAGAATATAGTCTCAAACAGCCGTGTGTATGGACTATCCTAGTGTAAAATGTGGTGAAAATTTCTACATGGTGGTAATAGTTTGATTAATGTTGCTTTCACACCTGCCTCATTTAGTTCGGTTAAACCGTACCAGAGCTTGTATGCCTTTTTAGTGCAGTTCTTTTGGAAAGGTGTGTAAGTGGCAATTGTACTTGCATATGAACCCTGAAGCAGATTGTTTTTGGTGAGAACATAAGTGACCTAGAACTGACACATGCTAAAATGTACTTTGACCAAACAAGCGTACCACGACCCGTTTGAAGAGGTGGTCTGGGTATGCTTTCAAACTAACCATGGAGTAGTTGTTTTTGGTGAGAACCTGACCCAACCTTATACTGACCCAAATGCAAAAAGTACTTCAGACCAAACAAGCATACCAAGACCTGCTCAAAGAGGTGGTCTCAATTCACTTTTAAATAAACCCTGAAACGATTTTGTTTGTGGTGAGAGCATGACTCAACTTTGAATCTACCCGATTGCAAAAAGAACTTCGGACCAAACAAGAGTACTAAGACCTGTTCCTAGAGGTGGTCTCGGTATGCTTTAAAACTAACCCTGGGGCAGTTCATTTTTGCTGAGAACCTGAACTGAACTCATGCCGACCCAAATGCGACGTACATTCTGGTACTTTACCATAAATATGGCAGATCGCGGAAAAACCTATTATCCTTCCTATTATCTTTGTTTACTTTTGTTTGTTATGCACGTGAGTTTCCCACACGTTAATCAAAATGTAGGTTCAGGTAATTTGTCAAGCCAACAGCTGTGGATGTTGTGACATGATTGCTTTTTGATTCAATAGGGTTAGGGTTGGGGTCTGGTGTGAAACAGAACCAAAGGAAATGGTTACTACAGTTGGGAAAGAACCCTAAGTTGTCTGTACTGCACTTCAATAATGCAACTGAAATAGGTATGCTCCACGTGTCTTCATTTTGAAATGTAAGCCCCTTTGTTGAAATAAAACACATCTATAATATGCTGACTTATCCTAAATATTTGTATTTTTCTTTCTAACATTGTTATTTTATTGTAATTGCAAAACACAAAAGAATTATGAGTATTATTTCTACCTTTAGTTACCATAGCCAAAACGACTGCATGCATTGTTACTTTTTCCTGTGACTTTAAATATGCATGCCTCTGTTGCCTAGCAACTTCCTACTAACAAAAACATAAATTTCTATTGGCAAAAGCGTCACTTTACTTCAGATGTGTCTTTTAAAACAGAATTTAGTGTCTTGAAAAAGCCTTCTCCACTGTTTGTGAAAATGAAAGTGAGGCACGGACGTTTGCGGGTGGTGTTGAATATCCTATATATACAATTATAGGCTATATTACCAAAAGATTGTGTTTTTAGTGAGATGATTCAGATAAATAAGACAAGAGATATTCTAAACTTTAATTTTAATATCTCAATAGATGCTTTGAATGTAAATATGACGTGACCATATGACGTCTATGACTTATAAGAGAACAGTCTGAATAACCACTATGGTAATTCTGGCAGTACCAGTGTTAAATTCAGAGTATTGGTGTCATTGTAAACGTACTAACTGATACCAAATGACAAGAAGCCATAAACCAAAGTGTTGGCTCCACGGTCTGGCTCTAAGCTGCTACTGTGTATCTTCAAGTCTTGTTACTTTTTATTGGAGCTTGTTTGAGTATTTACGAGAACATCTGTACTCCCCGGGGCGTGTTAAAAAGCCTTGGAGATCACAGAGATCCTCGGGGATGGACACTGGGCAGCTTGAATGAGACTTCGAGCATAAGGGTGAGCTCTGGAAGGATGATTATTCATTAGAAACGGCACAGATGGTTGGGTATTAGGAGAAGATGACTCCACACGCCGCTGTGTTTGTTTAATCTGTCGCTGAGGTGCAGAAGGAAAAGCTCCACGGGGCTGAGATTACATTATCATGCAGACATCCTGTTAAAATGTCAAACTGCTGGGAAGAGGGAGTTGGGGATTGACTGCAAAAGTTTTGGCCAAAAGATTGCCTTGTGTTTAATCTACTGTACAATTACAGTCAGGGGGTTGTTTTATTATCTAACAACTGTGCTGCTTTATTGTAAAAGAGTATTAGAGTAATACATGGCACCGTTTTCAACAAAAAATAAATACACTTTTCTATTCTTTTAAGCTGTTTTGGAGGCCTGAAAATTAGATTAGATTCAACTTTATTGTCATTACACATGTACAAGTACAATGCAACGAAATGCAGTTTAGGTCTAACCAGCAGTGCAATAGCAGCAAGTGCAGGATACAGGTACTGTATAAGTTATAAAGTGCAGTTATAGAAAAACTATGGTCATATTTACAGATGGATGTACTGTGAACATTATATTAGGTTGTGTTAGCTATGAACAGAGATTTACAATAGATGAATATTAATATATGTACAGGTTGCTATTAATAATCAGTAGTGTGCAAAATGTAAACATTTGAAAATTACACTCTTATAATCTCATTGTAAACCTGCTTTAAATCTGTACATTAATGAAAAAGGGGAAATGCAATTGGGTGATTGCATAAACAAAAAATTTATATGTATTAAAACCTGTTTTTAACTCCAACACTTATCGTCCACACTGCAGAAAATGTCTTTTCTTACTTGTTTCTAGTCCAAATATCCAAAAAGACCTAAATCAAGAAGCATTTTCTAACCAAGAAAAAAATATTGTCTTGTTTTAAGAAATAAAATGACAAATCTAAAAGAGTTTTTTTTTCCTTTACCTACTACAGCAGGTAAAACAAGTTAATAATCTGCCAATGGGGTAAGCAAAATAATCTTGTTCATCATTTTACACCATTGACAGATTTTTAGATATTTGGACTAGAAACAACATAAAAAAATGTATTTGTAAGAAAAGCATTTCTTGCAGTACATGATCTTATTTATTTAACAGCATACTTGGTTTACAGTTCAATTAGCACATAATGTGTAGCTGTACATACAGTATTGTGTACATATATCTGTCGGTTTCTATATTGTATATACAAAAATATATGTTCATACTCTATTTAGTACTTTCTATTTTGAATTCCTTTATTATCTGTGTTTTTGTCCTGTTATACTGTCATGTAAACAAATTCCACTTATGTGTAAAGATACCTGGCAATAAGGCTCTTTTTCATTCTGATATTTGTCCCAAATTCGAGTTAAAACTAAACATTTTTAGAGTGCAGTTTCAAAAAACACAAAGGAAAAAAACCCAAAACCATATAAATCTAATTTAGGCATGCAATTGTTATGTATATGCAAGCACTCAATGCAAACGCCCAATATTAATGACTTCATTAAACAAATCATTTTATGGCAACATAAAATGAAAATCCATTGTAGCAGTTTTATAAAAAGTTTGCTTTGTTAAGCTTTTTAGATTCTTAACCATACTCCAAATGAACATTTTTTGTATAACATACAGGATCAGTCTTTAATTTCGAATGAAGCGTACTGGGGTTTTTACCTTGGTGTTCACATTTCCATGTATAACTGCTGGCAGACTATTGTAGATGGTGTTCCTCACGCGTACTCGCTCCGTGCCAAACTTCAGGAGAACTTCATCTAAATTCAAAAACAGATTTTGTTTTCAACAATAGCATGTGTTGTATATCTGTAGAAGTATGTGTCCAGAAGGAAAAAGAAAAATTTAGATATAGCACATCTAAGCTTAAAGGATGTATTCACTTCTAGAACAAGACCAAAAATGTTGTTGTGCTGAAAAACATCAGTGGCTCTCCTGGCAAGCTTTCAAACATGTTTCAAGGGTTCACAGTTATCTGATGATTGATTATAAAGTGTATTTCACATGCTGTCCTGAGAGAGAGCCCTGAGCTCAGGGCTCCCTCCCGTTTGAAAGACGAGAGGGGAGTTTGAGCTTAGGTAAATCTCGAGAACTCCCCTGGTTTAAAAGCAGATTATAGGGATTGCTATGAAGAGATAAACTGCTGACTGAAAGGCATAGGTGGGAGTCTGGCTAAGAGCTCATCTACTGTATAGTGCCAATTTGGTTTAGTCAATTCACTTGTGTCACATGTCTTTGGACTGTAGGAGGAAACCAGGGAACCTGTTGGCGAGCACGGGGAGAACATGTAAACTACGCATAGAAACATCGGCTGGCCTAGTATGGACTTGAACCAGTGACGTCCTTGAGCCACTGAACCACCGTTGCACCCTATCTAGGGAACAGAAGGAGAAATAGGGGTGGAAGGGTGGATTCTTCAAGAAGGAGATAACTAAGGTAAGGAACTCTAGTTATTTATAGTGCTTTAGGGTTCATATGATTGGTGAATCCTGTGTTATCTAATGCGGGACCAGCTGTGGTCAATCGTAAGCATGTGATCCTCCTAAAATTTGTGTATAATTAAACTTCACTTACATGTTTAGACTGTTAGCCAATCATTTATCCACATTTACTTCTTAGTCAACAATACAACACAGCTATTTAAATGGTGCATTGCATTCAGATAAGAAGGGTCTACAGCAGTGGTCACCAAACTTGTTCCCGGAGGGCGGGTGTCCTGCAGATTTTAGCTCCAACCCTAATCAAACACACCTGAACAAGCTAATCAAGGTCTTACTGGGTAAACTTGAAACATCCAGGCAGGTGTGTTGAGGCAAGATGGAGTTAAACCCTGCAGGGACACCGGCCCTCCAGGACCAGGATTGGTGACCCCTGGTCTACAGGAACAGAAAATAATCAAAAATAGTACTTAAAATGTTATTTAATGATAAAAAAAATCTTGATAAGATCATTAAAGAACCTGAGTACACTACAAAATAAAAAAAGAAGTCCATTACCCAGTTAAACATCTAATTAAAGGAGTCATATGCATGCTATTTTCATTAAAACATCCAAAAATCACCAGAACAGAGTTCTTACAATATCCCCATGTCTCAAAGAATGTTTAAATAAAGATAAATAAGCAATTTAGAATCAGTGCTAATGCTAATCACCATGCTAATGATGTCACATCTCCTCCATGACAATTTGCCAAGAATAAAGACTATAATTGTTCATGGAAAATTAAATGAAAACCAATATGAATGATGCAATATATGCAGGAAAAATAATAATCTTTACTAACAACCTTTAAACACCGTTTTGACTCACCCAGAGCTCCATTCAAATTTTGGAAAATCTCACACTTGTGGTCCAAGGTCATGTTAAGCTTTTCCTAAAATACAGATGAGAAGACAACAGAGTAAAAGTGACCGTGCGACCTTTGTCCTCGTGTAAACCGTTTATAGTTGCATATTTTTAACCAGTTTGTTTGCTGTCGAACTTTATAAGTGCATGCGGTCAAGTTTACAAGCACATTTATGTTCTCACAAACCGCCTTAAGGCTCGTTGCATCACTGACCCTCTGAATCGGATCCACGTAGATCTTCGTGTAGAAAAGCTGATCGTCGTCGTTATCATGAAGGTCCCACTGGCTGACAAGCTTCTGTATGTATGGGGCATAGCCAATAATCCCTGTGAAAGACAATGGAGTGTATTTTAAAAGGCCTGTGTGTTGTAAAAGAAAGTATAGGATGTAAAATATAGCGTGAAGCGTTGACATTATGGTATGCCCAGACACAACATTTCCAATTTCAATTACATCTCTTCTGAAAAGCTTAAATCTCGCTCCCAATACATGGTGCGGTTCCTCAAACCCTCAAAACAGTGGGAAGTCTGGCAGAAGCGTCTGACCAACAAGAAACAAGTGTTGTGTGGCCACATCTAACCTCACTGTTGTTTGCTTGTCAAGTGCTTGTACTGTATGCCAGTAGGCTTTTATTTAAAGAAGCACTTTTTTTTAACCTAATTTTACAACTCTTCTAGAGTTGAGTTGAGTTTTAAGATCTTTAAATCTATTCAGTCGATACCAGGATCTGACAGGGGAACTTTTAGCCTAGCTTAGCATAAATCATTGAATCAGATTAGATTATTAGCATGACAGACTATCAGCCATAGACTTCCTACATCTATTCAAGCTTCCATAGCAACCTGCGTATGGATTTCTCATCATGTTCCTGAAGCTCTGACCACAGTTGAAAATTGCAGGGCTCACACTGGCATCTGTGCAGTTTTAGATAGCATCATTCGTCAGGAATTAGGAACTGTTAGGTTACCGCCCTAGGCCATTACATGTTTTACTCCTAATAACCTTTTACTATAGTCTGCATTCATAGGCTGATCTAAAAAGCATCTGAAACCACTTTTCATTGGCAAAAATGAACTATAGATCTGTTAGTGTGTACATTTACACAACAATTATGTCCTAGAAGCTGATTTTTGACTTGAAGAGAGACCAAAACAGTTTCAAAACATCTCTTGTTCACATGGATCCACAATAAACAACATCATGGTAACCGGTCTCTTCCCTGTATTACACTTAAGCTTTGATGGCAGCTTACCTTCTAGGGTGTTGCAGAGTTTCGAGAGAGACAACCAAGAGAAATAATAGATTAATATTTATTTAATCTTTAAAACTACCCTGGCAACACTGGGTGCGGGGTAGGTGCAGGTTTACCAAAAAGGACCCATGCAGGACTCTGGTAGACTATTAACGTCTCGTTCAAAAATGTCCAAATACTTCTATTAATTTTCCTATTTAAAGTGTGTTTCTTCTGTAGTTACATCGTAATATAATATAATATAATATAATATAATATAATATAATATAATATAATATAATATAATATAATATAATATAATATAATATAATATATAACTCTTAGTACACAATGTAACTACACTCTCAGAAAAAAAGGTGCACGGTGTTATACATAATGTTCCTTAAGGTACAGTTTTGTACCTTTGTAAAATTTGTACCTTATATGGTAGAGAAAATACCTCTTATGATACTGTTCTGTAGCTTACAATTGAAATGAAGGCATACAATTGTTCTCATAAAAAGGTACATAAGTGTTGGACAACTCCTTTATTACAATATCTATGAAAATTAATATTACTTTAAAGGCAAAGGGATTTTATGAATAATTCCCTTAATAAAACATTATAAATGGAAAATGTGCATTTGCACAAAAATAAACTTTTTAAAAACATTGTTTGATAAATGTATTTGATGTATTATATTTACTGAAAATAATTTGTCGCACTTTGGATAAAGCAAAATGCCTTTAAATAGTTCTTTAAGGAACAAATTTGATACTGTTAAGGTACGAAGTGTCTTGTCACTGTAGTGATACCTTCATGGATCAGAGTTGTACCTTTGATAAAGGTACAATATTGTATCTGCAGGTTTTAAAAACCAAAGGTACATTTTGGATTCTCATGGTACCAATGATCTCTTTAAAGGTACAAACTACAATGGTACAAATTTGTTTATTTGTCTTAAGGTACAATTCTGCACCATAAAAAGGTGCTACCCCAGTGACAAGGGTTTGTACCTTCTTTGGAACAACATTGTACTATTTTCTCTGTGAATGTACATAAAATTTAATCTTTAAATAGGAAAAGTACCAAAATTCTTTTGTCATTTTTGATCTATGCTAAGCTAAGCTTAAAGGGCTACCGACAGACCCGAAGAATGGTTTCTGAGTGGATTCAAAACTAGTAAAACTGAACCGTTTAAGTCTAGGAGAGTTGAAAAATGTAATACATAAGCACATGACATCTTTGTTTTCATAAAATTGTGCTTTTACACAAAGACAACAGTGGTGTCATAAAAAAAAATCACTTTTAATCTCGGTTTGAAAAAACATGGCATTTTCAGGCCACCAGAACTGTGTTGTATAAGTAAACGGTCAAATCAGTGTCATTTAAATAGACCCTCGATAGATTTCACTAGAAATCAAGGCCTTGAGATCTTCCACTGAATTGTAAATCCGCCAAAACCATAAGATAAACAAAGCACGTTTTCAGGCACGTATGATTTACATGTCCGTTCATTCACTAAATTAGCAGATCGTCTCAGTCTGAAGGCGGCCACCTCAGATGTGGTGACATGAATCTTATTTTATTACGGTGCAATAAAGTAAAACCCTTGACATGATGCCCAGGTTCAAAAGCAATTGCTGAAGCCAGATGTACAGCATTATGACATGTGGTTTTAATCCAGAATCCACAAGGTTTTTTTCCCACCGATCGAAACAACGCAAGAAGCTTGAATTCGGGCAAACTTGCGGGGATGATCGGAATGATGCAAGCCGTGCCGTCTTTCTAGTTTCCACAAACACAATGGTAGACATGGCATTTCTGCGCCAACCGAAACAAAACAGTGGCTACCGCAATCTACGGAGCAGTCGGAGGGATAAAACCAACCTTCAATTTTGGATGTGCAGGCAATCTAACAGAAAGTCCAACACAAACAAACGTGTCCTGTTAATGACACAGGCTCAACGCCCTGACAGGACACTACAGAAGACAAAGTGACCACCACAGTCAAAGCAGCAATTGACCAGATTAAAATAGAGCTCGGACGGGCGATGACCACAGGGTTTTCAAGTACAGAGAGGGGTGACGTTACTGTTCTTCAACGGAGAGAGCGAGTCGGACGCACACGTACGCACACTCTCAACTGAATGCACTATTCATGAAGACCCCTAGATGAATAGTGCACTATGCCTGGTGGCCCTCAGGAAATTCCACAGGGTGAGCGGCCGCTGCTTGTGGTTTACCCAGAAAACACGTTCACTATCATATTGTACCAGTGATGAAATTCCACTGTTTGTCCTTTGCTCTCTATAATCACCCTGCTTGCATTGTTCTAAATTCTGCCAGACCAAACAAACCCACACGGAATTGTCTGAGGGATGATACGGCCAAAATGGCAGCATGCCATGACCTTATTTACACGTTTCCCAGTGATATTCGGCCTGAGCTGAATTCTTAAAAGCTGACCTCCCAAATGCAGGAGAAAAAACATGTGTATGCAGGAGTGTAAACTGTTAGGTACTACAAGCTGTGAAAAACAAATACTACCTTTACAGACTAAACAAACGTCAGAGTTAATTGTGAAAATTCTTAACATGCTTGTAGTTTTGGAATTCAGGTAGTTGTGTTCAGCATGGTACCCTGATAGCACATGCGCGTCACTGAGATATCTATATAATGTTTGTGTTTATGTCTGTATGTGTTTGCTCAACTGCAAAACGCCTATTAGACATCTATTTTCAGCAATGTTGGACAGTGATGCTAGTTATTATTAGTAATGCGTTACTGTAATGATATTACTTTTGATGATAACATACTGTAACACATTACTTTTCACAGTAACTAATACTGTCACGCATTACTTTTGATGGTAACATACTGTAACAGTACTTTTGGCGGTAACTAATACTGTAACACATTACTTTTGACTGTAACATACTGTAAAGCATTACTTTTGATGGTAAAATACTGTAACACATTAATTTTGAGACTAACTAATACTGTAACATTATGTTTGACGGTAACATACTGTAACGCATTACTTTTGACAGTAACTAATACTGTATCACATTACTTTTGATGGTAACATACTGTAATGCATTTCTTTTGATGATAACATACTGTAAAGCATTACTTTTGAACATAACATACTGTAATGCATTACTTTTGGCAGTAACTAATACTGTAATGCATTACATTCTACAGTAACGAATACTGTAACATTACTTTTGACTATAACATACTGTAACACATTTCTTTTGACTATAACATACTGTAACGCGTTACTTTTGACAGTAACTAATACTGTAACACATTATTTTTGATGGTAACATACTGTAACGCATTTCTTTTGACGATAACATATTGTAAAGCTTTACTTTTGAAAGTAACTAATACTGTAATGCATTACTTTTGTAGGTAACATACTGTAATGCAACACTTTTGGCAGTAACTATTACTGTAACACATTACTTTTGACTATAACATACTGTAACACATCACTTTTGACTATAACATACTGTAACACATTACTTTTGACTATAACATACTGTAACACATCACTTTTGACTATAACATACTGTAACACATCACTTTTGACTATAACATACTGTAACACATCACTTTTGACTATAACATACTGTAACACATCACTTTTGACTATAACATACTGTAACACATTACTTTTGACTATAACATACTGTAACACATTACTTTTGACTATAACATACTGTAACACATCACTTTTGACTATAACATACTGTAACACATTACTTTTGACAGTAACTATGACTGCAACACGTTATATTTGAAGATAATATACTGTAACGCATTACTTTTCATAGTAACTAATTTTGTAACGCATTACTTTTGACAGTAACATACTGTAAAGCATTACTTTTGACAGTAATTAATACTGTAATGCATTACTTTTGATGGTAACATACTGTAACACATTTCTTTTGACAGTAACTAATACTATAATGCATTACTTTTGAAGATTACATACAGTAATGCATTACTTTTGCTTAAGAGGGCTAACGACATTGACCTTAAAATGTTAAAAAAGTGCTTTTGTTCTATCTGAAAATAAAAAAAATAAGAAAAAAATTATATAGGAAATACTGTATAAAATTAATTGCTCTGTTAAACATAATTTGGGAAATATTTGAAAAAGAAAATTCACAGGAGGGCTGATAATTTTGAATTCAACTGTATGCAATAGGCTTCAGGTGTAAGCATAGTTTTTGTTTCAGATCTTACATTTGCAAAGTCTAAAGTAGCATAAAAACAAATACTGAAAAAAGTATTTAAAAAGAATAGCATTCAAACAAACACACTCAAAAGTCCAGATTTTGTCAAAATGTAACCAGATGTGCACACATTAAGTCACCAGATTAGCAGTAAAGGAGCTTGCGTGTAGAACAGCATTGGGGTAACAGCCAAAAAATGCACACCCGTTGGGTTTTGACCTGTTTATGACCAGTTATGACTATGACTTCATTTTTATTTCAAGTGAACGCAGATGTTCCTAGCTTTTATGTATGGTGTTTATAACTTTTCACAATTGAATAAAGGGTTATTTCACCCAAAAAGGACAATTCTCTCATTAATGTATCACCCTCATGTCATTCCAAACCCCTGAGACATCATCTTCAGAAAACCAATGCAGATATTTTAGAGGAAATCTGAGAGCTCCCTCATCCTCCATAGACAGACATAGTCTCGATGTTCATAATTCAGAAAATAAATCAAGAACATAGTCCTAACATTCCATATGACTTCATTGGTTCAACTGTAATTATATAAAGCTTCATGAACTCTTTTGAATGCCAAAACAAAACAGTAAAAAACTACTTTATTTGCCAATGTCTTTTGTATCAGATCAGGGAGCGTATGTGTTGCACTGCTTATTCCAGTGGCAATATGTCATACTGCCTGTAGAACACCCTACCATGAAAGAAAAGATATTGGTGAACAGATTTGTATTAGCAGTTTTTTGACACACAAAAGTGTTTTGGGGGCTTCATATGATTACATTGAACCACTGAATTGACATGAAATTTTTTTGACGATGTTTCTTTACTTTTCCGAACATTCAGCAGGATCATTGCTGTCTATGGAGGATGAGGGAGCTCTCAAATGTAATATAATGTAGCTTAACTTGTGTTCCAAGGAACAACAAATAGATTTTAACAACATGATGCTGAGTAATTAATACTCAAATTGATATTCAAAAATTAATTTTTATTTTTGGGTGAACAAACCCTTTAAGACAGTGTAAGAATGCACATCTCTTTCCTTTGTCTGCTGAAAACAAAATAATATATTTTGGAGAATGGTTAAAGCCATTGACTTCCATAGTAATTGTTTTTTTTTTTTTTTCTACTAATGTAATTGGCTATTGGTTTTCAACATAGGAAACCAGTAATTCCATACTATGGATGTCAATGGCTACCAGCATTCCACATTCTTCGAAATACAGTATATTATTTTTGTGTTCAGCAAAAGAATGAAATTCAGTCTTGATCTAAAGATATTTTGAAGAATGTTGGAAACCAGTAGCCATCGATTTCCATGGTATTTAGAATTTCTTTTTTTTATTTATTTATTTATTTTTTGCTATGATGTCAATGGTTATTGGTTTCCAACATTGGAAAGCAGTACTTCCATATTATGAAATTCAATGGCTGCCAGCTTTTAAGATAATTTAAAATGTGTTATTTTACATTTAGCAGAAGAAGGAAACTCAAACTGGTTTCTAAAATATTTTAAAGAATGTTGGAAAACAGAAACCATCGACTTCTATTGTTTTTTTCATTTATTTATTTTTTTTGCTATGGATGTCAATCACTACTGTTTTCCAACATTGGGAACCAATACTTGCATACTATGGAGGCCAATAGCTACCAGCTTTCAACATTCTACAAAAATTAATTGTATTGCATTCAGCAGAAGATAACTCTAACTGGTTTGGAAGATACATATTTTTAAAAGTTTAGAAACCAGTAACCATTGACTTCCATAGTATTTTCTATTATTTTTTTGTTCATTTTTTGCTATGGCTGTCAATGACCAGTACTTCCATACTATGGGAGTTGACGGCTACCAACATTCTCCAAAATATATTATTTTTGTGTTCAGCCTTCCAATTCGAATGTTGTCCCTTGATTGAATGGTCATTACCAGTGGTTATCAGCTGATAGATATGGGCCAGTAGGGACCTTCTGCACCTACTAGTAGGCTCAGACGGCTGTTATCATCCATCCACAAGGGTAATCAGCTATACTTATAGAGCAGACTCCAGATCCAGATCTATTTTTACATCACTGTGATGGGTGGGTTTAGGGTTGAAGACGGGGTAGATGTTAACAAAATACAATAAATGGGAAATGTAATAAATAATTTAATTAATTCTGGTTAAACATCCCTTTAAGAGAGTTGAATGAGTTGAAATCACAAAAACACAATGGCTTTGGACATCCTATAGTTGTTTCCTTTTCCCATCTTTACATACCTCCAGAGTTGAGAAAGCGTTTCCCACTGCGTACAGACGGATACTTCTCTGCCAGTTGAGAATCTGGCCAGATGATTCCCTCCGCAGCAAACACCACCTTATGATTGCTCTGCTGGAACTTTCTGAGAATCTCCTCAGCTCCACCAGCAAAGATGAGGTCATAACTGAAGAGAGAAAAAAAGCAGAAGAAAAAAATGATCCTGTCCACTGCTTTCCAGTAATTTTCACATTTAAGACATTATAAAGCAGTTGAACAAATGATGTTTGCTAAATAGAGTTTATTTAATCAGCTATGTCTATTTGTACTGAGCTGCTGGAAGGGAGTGGAGGGCATTTAGGTCTTCTGTTTCAGACACTATTAATATGCCTGGTAACGTTAGTAACTATAAATGTCATCACAGGAAGTACACCGTGTGGGAGGCACCACGGTTTCCTCTCGTCTGGGGAACACCTGTGCACACAAATCATTTCCCCATTTTTTAAATATGATTTAAAGTTCATCTCTGGAATATTTGACATGGCTTCATTGTGGCAAAATGGTTTCAGCTACACCTATTAGTGTTTAATATATTTTACAGAACACTTGAAGTCTGATTTCCAATTTTTTATACAGTTGAAGGCAACATTGTTAAATTGTCCTGTGGAAGTTTAATACTAATTTTTTGTACTTTGTTTTATAGTTCCAAAATGCTGTTTAACAGAGCAAGGACATTTTCAGAGCATTTACTATATATTTTATTTATTTTTTATTCATTCATTCATTTTCTTTTTGGCTTAGTCCTTTTATTAATCAGTGGTCTCCACAGCGGAATGAACCACCAATTTATCCAGCATATGTTTTACGGATGCTCTTCCAGCTGCAGTCCATCACTGGAGTATTTTATTTTATTTTATTAAAATTTTTTATGTATTATTTATTTATTTATTTATTTATTTATTTATTTATTTATTTATTTGTTTGTTTGTTTGTTTGTTTGTTTATTTGCTTTATTTTTTATTCATTTGTTTTATTTTTTATTTTTATTTTATATATTCATGTATTTTATTATTTTTATTAATATTTTTTATATATGTATTTATTTTTATTTTATTTAGAATTATTTATTTTCCCCTTTAGAGAAAGTGTTATTTTTTTTTTTTTTATGATTTTAGGTCATTACTTTATTGTTGTTTTTATTATTATTATTATTATTATTATTATTATTATTATTATTATTATTGTTATTGTTATTGTTATTATTATTATTATTATTGTTATTATTATTATTGTTGTTGTTGTTGTTGTTATTATTATCATTATTATTATTATTATTATTTTTATTATTATTATTATTATTATTATTATTATTATTATTATTATTATTATTATTATTATATTGTCTACACAACAAACCATTGGCTTGTTCAATAACTTGCCTAATTGACCTAACTTGCCTGGTTACATACAGTAATTTACCCAGTTAAGCCTTTATATTACACTTTAAGCTGAATACTAGTATCTTGCAAAATAATTAGTAAAATATAATGTACTGTCACCATGGCAAGGATAAAAAAAGTTATTAGAAATAAATTGGCAAACCAAAATAATAATAATAATAATAATAATAATAATAATAATAATAATAATAATAATAATAATAATAATACGTTTAAAAAATTGTCTTATGTCAACAAAATGTTTCTTTGTTATTCAGCATTTTACTTTTTTTTTTTAAACAATTAAAATAATTTTGACTTCCAACATAGCCTATTCAGCCCTAAATTGTGTTATTCTAAACTTCTCTGAACTCTGAGCTGTTTATTATACCTATAAATGTGTGCGATTCCAGATATGGGTGTGTATAAATAGCTGCTTCAGAGTTCACAGAGTTCTGCTTTAATTCAATTTGATGTGTTTCATATAAATGACTTTTGATAAAATGCCACTGCATGCGGCAGGTGAGCGTGAAGTTAACTTCAAACGCAAATCATTTTCTACTTTGTGATCATAATAATCACTCGTTTCTGCAGAACACACCCAGACCTACATGACTAAAAAAACGCACACACCACACTTTCATTATAAATTGACATGCTGTAATTTTCCTTGAATGATGACGTGGAATAACAGGCCATTTATTATGGCTAATTAGCATAAATCGAGCGAAAAGCCACCATTTCAGTGAGAGCTTTGGTTTTAAAGGTAGGTTTTGGACATTTTTGAACAAACGCCCAATACTTTTACCTTCACACAGGCTCTTGCTGTTTCTTATTGAGTTGGCAATGGCACTGTCAAATTTGTTTTACTGGTGTGGCTTAAACTGCATTTACACATGCAGCAGATTTGTTATCGTTGATAAACCCATTTTAGCTAGTCATTTTGCCTTCATCTAGACTAAATATTTTACAGGGCATCATTTACCGTCAATTACAGGTAATTACAAAAATGCATTTTCTGGTAAATTAGAGTCAATTTACAGCTAGACTATACATAGAGACATACGTATACTGTATCCCTTTTCGTCTTTGGTATTTTAACTGCATATTAAATCTAATACAACTTAGTGCTTTTCACACATGAATTGTCCACAGGAATTATTCTAACAATCTTAGGATCTTACTCTCGGTTTCAGATTCTCCATAGATAACTTAACCTTTATCAGTTTAGCCCTTGTGTATTGTTCAAATTGACTTCCCTTTCGTTATGTTAGTGCCTTTTTTTGCCCCATTGGCTTCCATTATAATGACACTTTTTGCCTGCAAAAGCCTTGACACCATATAAGCATGCATTCTTGATTGCTGGTGGTTTTCCCTGTTGGAAAGAGATCAGAATTGTCATTTTTACTGTTAGTTATCTGTTGGCATCATTAACTCTTTTGATAGGCCTGTGCAAAAAGCTTTCTGGCTTATATGTGAGGTTCTACGGAGTACAACAACAGATTATAGTGTGTGTGTGCATGACTACACTTACTATGTTTACTATGTTCTGAGAGCTGAGCTGCTTATTTTGATTTTCTCAGACATATCAAGATAAGTGTGAAAAGGTCTCTCTCACATACTTGTGCAAACACACACAATACTCCTTATAACTCCATATAAAAGCCAGAAACTAAGCTTTTTTGCACTGCAGCTGATGATCAACAGTCAAAATTACTAAGTTGACCTCTTCCTAACAAGGAACAATCAAGAATGCATGATTATAAAAAAAAAACGTTATTTATAATAGAAGTCAATGGGGCAAAAGCAGGCACTAACATAATAAAAGGGAAGTCAATTTGCCCAAAGTGTATTGTTGAGATTTTGGAAAATTGTCAAAGCATTATCCTAAAGTATGGTGTCAAAATATGATGTGTTACCAAAACTCGTTCCATTGACTAAAACACAGAAAAAGTTGTAGCCAAATTGAGACTCAAAACCACCCCAGAAGGGATGAAAACATCCCCAACAGCACACAAAGTTCTCACAATGTTCTCACACAAAGTTCTCATAATGTTCTCACAAGCTTTGTAATGTAATTCATGAAAATCCACAGACATTTAAAAACATCTTTATTTTATTTTTTTTCTAAGTTAATTGTGTACATAATTCATCATGGAAGTTTAATCTCAATTATGTTCCTTAGCCCTTACATTCACCCTTACCCCTTAGTTTGCATGTTCATGTATAGGGGCAGCAGTGCACTGATTCTTTATAGCTTGGAGGTGTAGGCATAGGTGGAAGAGGCATTCAGCCTCACAAATGAAGACTTTTCAGTAACCACACTAAAAACGAAGGTGTATGAGTAATGTCCCTGAATATACTGTACCAGCTACAACAGCAGCATTGCCTCAAAAACAAAAAAGTAGACCGACAAATGTAAAAAAAAGAAGAGCAATGGGCATTAATAAGGTTTAAATAAGCATCTGATTTATAACATTCCTAATGACTTTAACGTGTTATGATAAGGGTTGTCACGATACTGGAATTTGATACCAATTAGATTAGATTTTTAGATTAGATTAGATTCAACTTTATTGTCATTACACATGTACAAGTACAATGCAACGAAATGCTAACAGTGCAATGCTAACAGAAATTGTAACAGTGTCCATTTCCCGCTAACATTTGAGCGCTCAACAGAAATGATTGTGATTGTCCATGAAAGTCATTAGTTCACTGAACTCATCGCTGTTTACTGAGTATAACCACAGATACAGGGACACTAGAGCGTTTCAAATTCACGTCGATCAGCTGCTTTGTCTATAAGCTGAGAAACAAGCAATCCGCTGATGAATCATGGCTTCATAACACTCCAGTCTCCCTGTATCTGTGGTTATACTCAGTAATCAGCTTTGTTTAGGAAAGTGCTCAACAGTGCTCAAATGGTATCGGGAAATGGCCATTTTTTTTATTTTTAGTATCGATTGGTACCAGTTTTCAGTATTGTAACAACTTTAGTTGCGATCATTATCTTCAAAGAAACCTTTTAAAAAGCAACGCAACATTTTGAAAATGATAGTCATTAGATAACCACTAGAAAATGTCACACAACAAATTTTAAATTCTGATAATCAAAGATAACTTGACATCCCTTAAATGCAAAGGTCCGTAAATTTTGGTTAGCTGCTTCAACTGCTACAAAGAAAATGTTGGTACAAAGGTGGAAACCTCCTCATGATCTCTCAGTTAAGCACTGGTTACATTCATTATTGGAAATACTGTATCTGGAACTGTCATCAGCACGGATCAACCTTGCCAAAGTGGACATTCTTACGGCATGGAAAATCTACATATGCAACGTCAAAGAAATCTTGGACACTTAACCCTCATCTGATGCTACGGATGACAACTTAATGGAAATTATCTAACAGCTTGGTCTAAACTATAGTTATTCTGTGTTTCCTGATGTGCGTATAATGAGGTGGGGGTTGGGAAATATATATGGGGTTATATCTGTTAAAAGTATTTTGTTATCTGATTGTAAAAATTGTATATTCTCACTTTTGGAAATAAAAAACTGAATTTACAAAAAAAAAAAAAAAGATAACTTGACATAACTGGCCAGTCTATCAGAAATGTCTGGTGGCTGTGAATTAGTTTTTTTGCATCATGTCTGGTATAGTGTTAATTTAACGTTTAGCCTTTATTTTTTCCTGTTGATTTCCTTTCTTGATATTAGAATTTTTAATTTTTTGAACTTGAAACTAGACAAAAATTTAATAAATCTAATCTAATCTCTCTTTTTTATATTTTTGCAGTGCATCTCTTTCTTAAGGCCAAATGACACCTACCTATCGACAAACAAGACCACCAAGTCCTCTTGTTGATCCAGAGACTCCATGGCTTCCTTCAGCAGTCGAACTTTCTGGCCTCCACCAATGGAGTGACCCACGTCACCTCCCTTCCACTCTTCTCCCATCCCAAGCACCTGCGTTCAGCATGTTCTAGTTCAATCAGTCCTTCAATCAACACCACCCGCCATTATAAATGAGCTGTGGTCCCCCAGCGGTCTTACCTTCACATTGAAGTTGAAGTAGTTTGCTGACTGCATGAAGCGGAGAAAGCCATCCGTCTCCTGTGTTGCAACAGTAAGTACAAGCAGTTTTTCTGGGGTAGAAAAGAATGAGAGTTCACATAAGAAAAAAAGGGTAAAAGCTTAGAATTATAACGAAACGTGATCTCCTTCTGAGAGGATGATTTACACAATACTGTTTTCAACTAAAAATGCTAAATGTTTCTGCATATTTGGCTGTTTTGTGGGCCTAAAAACACACAACAAGGTTTGGGGAAACACTGGTGTAAACTACAAAAACACTGAACATTGTGAAAACAGTGATGTCAGGCATGTTTACAGGCATGTGTGAGTATTTGACAATCTAAACTACAACATTAAGCTACACTCAAAAAAATAATTTAGCTGCTTCTTCAAACTATTTATTTATAATAAGCTGAATCAACACAAATCTTGAGGGCTTTGTGGGGTAACTGAATTGTTTTATGTTTAATCAACTTAAATTTGTAAAAAAAAGTATTTAGTAAACTTAATCGATTTGTGTTTAAACAACATGAACACAGCATTTTTTTACAGTGTATGTTGTTGGCGTGCTGTTGCATTTTCTTATTATTATCTTAAATTACAGTAGTATCATCATTTAATATGTAGTAAATGTAATAAAACTGCTGTGTTGTTTTTTTTTTATTTCTGCCCTGTGGGGTGACTGTTTTAAGCATACACTGTAAAAAAATCATTTGTTAATTTTACTTAATTGCATTATGCAAACTTGTTGCATTTAGTAATTATAACTTTAGCTCATTAAGTACTATTTACTAATAGAGAAAACAATTATTTTACTGAGTCGCATTTACTTAGGTCAATTAAGTCATCTTAACTTTATATCAAGTATTATTGACTGATGTAGTAAAGTAATTCTTATACTGAGTCACACTTACTTTGCTCAATAAGGTCATCTTAACTCTATATCAAGTATTATTTACTAATGTAGTAAAGCAATTCTTACTTGCCAATTCTTATACTGGGTCACATTTATTTAGGTCAATTAAGTCATCCTTACTTTATATCAAGTATTGTTTACTAATGTAGTAAAAGTAATTCTTACTTATACTGAGTCACATTTACTTAGGTCAATTAAGTTAGGTTAACTCCCCAGAAACTGTACTCTGAGGTGTGATGCTAGTAAAGTTTACTTAATTATTTACGAGTCTTAATTATCCATAATTAAATTGTTACCACACGTAGTAACGTACGTAGTAACTAGTCGATTTCAGCTTTTATAAATAATTTTGGTAACACTTTACAATAAGGTTCATTAGTTAATGCATTTTCTAACATGAACTACTCATGAACAACACATGTTCAGCATTTATGAATCATAATTGAACATTTACTAGTGCATTATTAAACATCCAAGTCCATGCTTGTTAACATTAGTTAATGCACCATGAGTTAACATGAACTAACTATGAATTAGTGTATTTTCATTAGCTAACGTTAACTAACATGAACAAATACTGTAGTAAATGTATTGTTCATTTTTTGTTCATGTTAGTAAATGCATTAATTAACATTAACTAATGCACCTTATTGTAAAGTGTGACCAGAATTTAAAAAAAACATTAAAGCAATAATAAATACTTTTACAGGTGGCTATTTTAGTAAATGGAAATATTTTATTTCACCCATATATTTCTAAAAACATACACTGTAAAAAATGATATGATCAATTAGTTCTGACAGCATGCTTTAGGTCATTGTAACTTATTAAACTAAGGTAATCATGTTCTAACCTAATTTTATAAAGTTACGCAGGCTGTTTAAATTCAGTTTAACATAATATAAGTTGGACTTAAAAGGTCAATTTGATTCAACTTAAAAATGTAAGGCAACCAGGATTCTTTTTACTGTGTAGGAACTTGAGATATATAAATATATAACTTGGTATACATATATAGTCACTGAAAACCATCAAATCAGCAATTCCATTGAAAATTTTAACAAGCTGACGACCCTGTTCAAGATCATGTGACTGAAGCCCAAGAGGTGCACATGTTAAGCTTTTGTTTCTGGATTCTTTACATAATCATTTTTGGAACCACAATAAAATTTATGTTGTTGTCTTTTAGTCTGACACCCCTATTTATTGAAAATGTCCAACAAGTCATGGAAAAAAAAATATTTAAAATTTCATATTGTGTGCAACGTACATCATCTAGATGCACTGGGACGCATTGTCAGTGATGTATCCTGGGGCCCCTGGGTGTTTTGGGTCTTTTTAACATCAGACATCTTCGCCCAGATGACCCAGCTGAGGTTGATCAGACCCCAGCTTGCATCCCAGTAGTCATCACCCACAGATCAACCCTCTTTATCCATAGCAATCTTGTGACTGTCTCTGCAGCTTCACAAACAGACTTAATGGCTCTCTTCTTAGCTTCTTCATGCTAGGCCTGGTTGGTTGAAGAGTTTAGAGGGTGAATGCCCTGCAAACCCTCGACAGTCCACCTGTAGTGGCTAACAGTTGGTCTTCCAGCCCCCTTCCCGGGACTTCTCTACTACCTCCTGGTACTTTGAGTGTTTCCTTTCAATTGACTCTGCCATCTGCTCTTCCCAGGGCACTGTGACTTCAAGCAAATGTCTTTATAGGAGCCATATTACTTTTAATTGAATTATTATGTTTATTTGTATGCTGATTAGTTTGGGTTTCACAGTGACGTTAGATGTTTAGGGCACGTGGGCATACCTGGCACCTGCTAGAGCAAATAAAGCGCGTGCCCAATCACACAGGTGTTAGGAGGAGAGAATGATAATGGGGTAGCTGTATTTTTTGTTGACCGTAACAAGCTACGGCACACACAACAACCATATATCACTACAACGCAATAATCAGCTCCATACACAACAGGTATTCAACCCACAAACTTCTGTGTTGTTTGACATGTTTTAAGTTTATATAAAGTTTTGCTTAAACATCTTGGGCTCAATGTGTCTGTCAGCCACCAGCTTGTCAAAAATGCAAATGCTCACTGTCTCTCTAGCGACTTATGGAGGCATCAGGAAGTCGCAATAGTCTTATTGCAAATATATAAATAGCACTATATTAAGATAATTGTCCGACAATGAAGATAAATCCCTCTCATGCTATTTGTATCTTATTAAGAGTTGCTTTTCTTAATATTTGCTATGTCACATCATAGAACATTTTTATAGTACAGTTCAGCTTCTTGAGTAAACCTCATTAATCATGAAACGTGTAAAATCCACCCTGCGTGTGGAATAGTGGAGGAGTAAAATCACTCCCTTTAGGGTCGTATTTCTAACAAATTCCTTTATACATTAAGGAATTTGGAAGTTGATGTTTTCCAAAACCCCACGGTTCCCCAAAGAGCCTCTTTACCAAAAATATATACAGTTATAAGTTGCCTTTTGCCTACAGTATGAAGTACAGGGTATCTTATTACTGCAAACCAAACTACAACCAAACCTCAAACCTAAGTCAACACTCACAAGACTGATTTCCACAGTTCATCCCCACCTCATGTGAGGATAAATGCAGAGTATCGTTAAAGTTCTCATAGTCTGAAATGGCTTTGGCAGGACGTGTTTTGTAATGAGCACTGGTATTACATGTGATGGTGGTAACGGTGGTGCTGATGGTTAGTTAGCAGGAGAGGGTTTCGTTTCTCAAGCTCCCGCTACATTTCCGCTGGACGTGCCAGTGAGCAGGTACAGACCCTCTAGCAGAGCAATGTGTGGGAAAATAAATTCCAGACTGGGGTGTGAATGGCTGCGTGACTTCAGTCGTCCGTCTTCTCTGGGGTTTGGGAAACAGTCCCAGAGAAATCTTAAGCAAACATCAGGGAAAGAGACAGGATGTGTGTACGTCACCAGTAGTACTGTAAGTATCTTTGTAGATATTACAGCTCTACAGATTGAAAACAAATGACCAGCAAGTTGAATAAAACCCCAATTGTTCTTCAACCTGGTGAAAAGGTTAAAGAAAAAAATGCTACAGGGTTTAGATTTGCATTTAAAAGTCATTTCCAGGCATAGCCGTTCACCCTGTTGGCAGTGTTCCATCAAATAGTTGCACTTTGGGCAACCAAACCTTCCCAGATTGAGGATCTTTTCCAAATATAGTAATGCTTTAGTTTGTCACAATTCACACTATTATATAGCTAATTAACTGCCTGTTTTTAATATATAATTACTGGTTTTTAGTAGTTATAAATTATTGTTATTCTACATCTCTAATCCTACTCATTATCTACCAACTCCTACCTTACTATTAATAGGGTTGCCATAAATACTGTAGGTTTGTAGATTTTACAACTCTACAGATTGCAAACAAATGGCCAGCATGTTGATTAAACCTCAACTGTTTTTGAACCTGATTAAAATGGAGAAAAATTCCAGATTAGATTTGCATTTAAAACTCCTTTCCAGTCATAGCCGATCACTTAGCAGTGCTCCAGCAAGTAGCGAAGTTGCACTTTGGGAGACCCAAATTTGAGTCCTGGATTGGGGATCTTTCTCAATCTTGCCCTCCTATTTCTCTTGCCCTGCTTTTTGTCAGACGGTATGCTGCACTATTGCTGAAAAAATAAAGAAATAAAAAAGATTTAGGGGCATTAGAGTATTTTAATCTACATCCCTAATCCAACCTAACTACTATCTTATTAACTATTAATTATGTCACCATTATTATTGTAACTTTAGATTTTACAACTTTAGAATAAAATATTAATAGATTAAAAACAAATGAGAGCATGTTGAATAAAACCTAAATAGTTTCTCGCACCTTACTAAAACATGCAACAGGGTTTACATTTGCTTTTAAAAGTAATTTTAAATCGCCTTACTGGCAGTGCACCATAGTGCATGGTGACATTTTAACCCCCCCCCACCACCACCACCACCACCTTTTTCATGCCTTGTTTCGTATCAGATGGTGTGATGTACAATTGCAAATAAACTTAAAAAAGAAGAAAAAAACCTGCAGGGAGATTAGAGTGACCAAAAAGGCACACTTGTCTTTACACACTAAACTGGTTTCAAAGAAAATACAGTAATTATGGGTTTTTGAAATGTA